TTACACACAAGAAAAAAAAGAAGTAAAGAGACGCCTATCATAGAGATCTCGCTCTTTCTAAATTGTGTGTCCATTCTCTCTCGTCTCTCTTCTATTTCTTCCTAGTATCCTCTGCCTCTCTTGGAGATGGATGTGTCCACTACCGTATTTTGGGATCTTCGTGTTTTTCAAATCCCTGATGGAATTAATGCTAATTTCATTCCACGGAATATTCGAATTTTCACTTACGAATTAGTTGGGGTATGTTGGTCCGCTCTCATTTAACGTTTATGGAGATGAGGATTGTATCCAGGCCGGCCCTGTGCATGTGCTGGGAGTGCATTTGCACACGGTCCATCAGATTTTTTGGTTTATTTTCTTTAGTAAAAAAGGTCCAAAATTTTTTATAATTTAAATATGTATTAATATTGGGGCCAATTTTTTTTCTAGCTCTGAGTCCTGTCAAAATTTGAGCTGGGCCATCACAAAGGCAACCTATGATGCCTTTCTTCGCGCCGGATTCATCTTCGAATACATACCCACCAAAAAATAGTTGGGGTTTAATCATCATTCAGTGGACGTATATTGCTGGGTACGGAACAATTATGCACCCGCCAATTGTGTCCGATGTTATTTTATGTTTGACTAAGAGACTTACAAAGTTTTTCGTAGCATTGCCTGGATATTCAACAATGCCAGATTGCCAGTTAACGTTTAGGAGGAGGCACCAGGGTTCGGGGTAGTTGCGCTTTGGACCCTCCTATCAGGATGACGCCCAAGTGTTGTTGTGTTTTTTTTTTTTATATCTATGATAACTTGGCTGATGGTTTAATAGTGGAGAATGTAGATTTTTTCTAGATTGATTGGGGGATTTGGAAACTCAAATATCTTTCAAATATTCATGTAGAGCCTTGGGAGATTTTGGAATATTGATCTTTGGTGAAATCAAAAGAATGGTTTGACAAAAATGAAGGAAATTTTTTTTTCCATCCCAAGCTTGGGGAAAGACTAATAAAGTGGATTCCTCCAGCCGCATGTACTTGTAAATGCAATGCTAATACATCTTGTGCTAAGAATGTAGATCATAGTGGTGTGGGGTGGGTACTTAGAGATGAAATAGGCAATGTGAAGTGTTATACCGAACTCTCCAATCTACTCTTGATGCAGAAGCGGAAGCCCTTATAAAGACAATGAATTGTTAGAACAATCTATATTTCTCGGAAGTGGTGTTTAAAACTAATTCAAAAGTGTTCAAGCTAGCTTTACAAGAACCTCGTGCTTAGCTGCATCTAATGAGCTATACAAGTGATATTTTAGGCACAAAACAGAGACACTTAAAGTCTAGGTTCATATTTAAAGGAAGGTAAGCAAACCAATGTGGCGATTGTATAGCAAAGAGAGTTTCTTTTTTTGTCTATTAATTACTATATATGCTTTGTTAAAATACTGTATCCCACATTAGTTAATGCCAGTCGTGGAAAGGGAGAAACTTTGTAATGGTTTACAAGTATTAATATAAAGGTGGTATGTTTAAGAAAAGAAAAAAAAATATTGATCAGAAGAATAAATGTTGGTAAACAAGAAGTAACATAAGAAAAGAGCGATTGTAAATGAATCTTAATTCTTAATTTTTATGTCCAAGCCTCTGTGGTCTAGTGGCAGAGGAAGCTTTGGTGAATGGTGAAACTCCCAGACCCGTGTTCGATTCTCCCTGGAAACAAAAACACATTTGTTTGGAAAGTCTGTCAGTTGGGCATTGACCCAATTGGTTTATCTGGTAGTCAGAAATGCAGGCAACCTGACTACCCCCTGGCATTAGTCGGAAGGTATTCCAAACTCAGATCAGGCAGTGTGGTGGCCCAATTCTACCTGGATCGGGAGAAGTCTACTCTGTAGCACCTCGGTGCGTTCCTACTGAGGCCAACCGGATCAGCCGATAGGGTTTATCAAAAAAAAAAATAATGATTAAGGGAGAGGAATGTCACTTACTTGAGAAGCAAGTAGATGAACTAATCAAGAGAGGTTGAAAAGGGATGCAAGTATGGCTTTGGAGATGTGCTATATATGTTTTGGAAGTAAGAATGAATATAATTGGTAAGACTTATTTTCAAATATACTTGAGCTAATGAAGAAAGTAAAGTGACGATTAAATGGTTGATAAAAATTTTCCAAGGTGTTAATAAGAAAATTAATTGTAGACTTGGGGAGACAGAACCAAAGTTCAAAAAAACAATGTTAAAATGTATGAACTCATTGAGCACAATGTTATCAAAAACGTATAATGTGTATGGTTGAGAACCATAAGAGACGTTTCGTATTACCAAAAATCCAATGGCCTGAGCTTCGAATATTTGGTATTGAGTTTGGTAGACCAAAAAGAGCATATAGTATATGATATGAGTACTCCATGGCCTAAGGTCTATCCGTCTATGAAGAGCCGAATTGTTTTTCAAGCCAACACTGCACATGAATGGTCTTTATTTACTTTCTATATATATGAAAATGAAAGAAAAAATTTCAATGATTTCACACTTGCACCCGAAGTAAGCAAAGAGGAATTTAGGCATTTATTGCTGGCCACAAAGGCGGTCATTATTTGCAAGAACCATGTGACTATATTAATAAATTATTAAATTAGCACTTCTCTCTTTTTTATTTCTTTCAAATTTTTTCTTTTTTTTCTTTCAAATTTTAAACTGATCTTTTGGATGTTGCAAATACAAACAATTTGTAAAATTCGGAGTACATGACTTTTTCTTACGCATCTCTCATAATTTATACAGAATTCTTTAAATGTTTTTTTCTTATTATTAAAGTAACAAGCTAGTCTTAACCAAGTCGCTTTGATCCAGTAGTAAAGAAAAGAAAAGTTTCAGTCACCTGTATATGAATAGCAATGGTCATAAGAATATGAATTCTAAAAGCATCTCCAACTCACCTCTATATTTGCCTCTAAACTCTATTTTAAAGGCAAATTTACTCCAACCCACCTCTATTCCCACCTCTAAAATAGAGATCTCTATTTTTTTCTCTATATATAGAGGTGAGAATAGAGAATCTCTATTTTTTTCCCTATAAATAGAGTTAAACTTTTTAGAGGAAAAAATAGAGAAACACATTGGAGTAAATATAGAGAAAACTTACCTCTATTTCTATAAGAGCATCTCCAACCCACCTCTATATTTGCATCTAAACTCTATTTTAGAGGCAAATTTACTCCAACCCACCTCTATTCTCACATCTATTCTCACCTCTAAAATAGAGATCTCTATTTTTTTCTCTATATATAGAGGTGAGAATAGAGAATCTCTATTTTTTCCTCTATAAATAGAGTTAAACTTTTTAGAGGAATACATTGGAGTAAATATAGAGAAAACTCACATCTATTATAGAGATAGAGGTAAAAATAGAGAAATACATTGGAGATGGTCTAATAGAGCTAAAAATAAGGAAATACATTGGAGATGGTCTAACATGGTTTTCCCGGATCTTAAGATTAATATTTTTGGACCTAAAAAGCTTTTACAATCATTTGAGTTATATTAAAAAAAAAAAAACAGACTAGTCTTGTGATAATTTTAACATTTTCAAATTTTAAATGTTTTTGTCAATTTTTGTCACAAGTCATATTCGGTGCATGTTCTGAAGATATTTTCGACTTTTGTAAGCCCTAATAAATGTGTTCAATTTAAAAATTACATTCATTCCATTTCCTTTCTTTTAAATTTAGAAAGTCCCAACTTTATTTAATTCTAACGATTTATTATGGTCAAATATATCGTCCCACTAAAAGTTTATTATGGTTTTGGAAATGCAATGCCAATTTCATGAAAAATTGACTAGATATAGTTTGAGATGGAAAATATCTTACTCCTGAAGCTTATAATAAAACATCGAAGATTTTCGAATATAAATTCTAGTGTGAAACCTCTAGTCAATAAGAATCGAATTAACTATAAAGACCCATATAAAATAATTCTTGATGGGATAATAAATGATAAATAATGGTGATATTCTTCAATAATTGCTAACTAAATGTGGAGAAACCACACGAAAAGTGTCATTGGATTGGAATTCTCCAAAAATAGGAACATTAATGTCATTTGTTGTTTGCATTTCTTGGATTTATTCTACATGATTGATTACAAGTTACAACACATTAAAATTGTAATTGTCTACCAAAAAAAAACAAATTAAAATTGTAATTTGTGGAAACCCTTGTAAAATTAAATTTGTCATGGTGCTCGATTTATAATCTGTATCTTTATATATGTACTACTAAAAATCACAACTCATCACTTAAAATGTTGCCATTTCATTTCAACTACAAATTAAATTAAAATAGAGTTCAAATTTATTTACATTCCACGGATGAATCAATCTGATCATTCTATATTTACATTACCGGCCGTTTTGCAGCTGTTAAATAAATAAACCAACACGAGTTTATTCTCACAAATATATTTTATTTTATTTAAAAAGAAGAAGAGAATATTCTCTTCATTTTAATAATTTTATTACTCACATTTTGATTCTCTCGCCAGCAAATAGCACTGTAGTTTTATTAAACAAAATAAACAAAGAGATTTTGGTAAGAATATGAAAAGATTACATGATTAAATTACAAATAAACAGAACCGAATAAAGCTAAAACTTGATTAGTTATAGAATAACGGAAGTAGTTTTGTCCTTTTTCGAAAACTTAAAAACACCGTTCTTCTGATGACGTGTACCTTCTCTTCATCTTCCCTATCTCTTCCTATAGTGAAAAAAAAAAAAAGATTATTCAATGTCTCTTTAGATTTCAATTTCATTAAGACAATTGAATCAGCTTGTCCCCAGAAGATCTTATCTGTGTAAGAATCTCACAAAACCTCGACGAAGTCATAAAGCTTGGATCTTTAACTTTGACTCGTTTGCTTCTCTCTCTCTCTCTTCTTGTTACTTGCAGGCGATGACTCTTCGTTGGTTTTGATCGAAATCTTCTTCTTTTGAGTTTTTCTCATCTGGGTCTTACATTTCCTTAGTAAATTCACAGACTTTATCTGAAACTTTTGATAAATTTTTGAAAAGATTTTGGTACAGAGGAAGAGGAATTGAAGAACAAAAAAAAAAGCTTCAATTTTGGTTAGTTTTTTAGATTTTCTTCTTGAAATTTTGTGTTTAAATGTTTCACTTTAGTTCTGATTTTACGAGAAATTATAAAAATCTGATTTTTGTCTTAGATCGAAAATTCAGAACTAGGGTTTGATCTGTTCTTGAAGATCCTGCACTGTTTTGAGGTTGACCTTTTTGTTGCAGAGAAAGATACAATGCCTGAAGGAAAATTGAGATCAGGAGTTTATAGATCATTCATAATGTGTGATGATCCAAGAGATGTTGTTGAATGTGGAGCTATTAAGAAACAGAGTAAGAGTCGTAGTAGTAGTACTAAACAGAGATGTGAAGAACATCTCTCGAAAGCGAAAGAGCGGTCCGAAATGGCGGTGGCGCCTAGGAAGAGTAATACCGAGGATGTTCCTCCTTCTTCGTTGCAGCTTTTGAGAGTATCTAAAGGGATTCAGAAACTGAATGTTGCGATTGAGTCATGGACTAAAGGGTTTAGCTTTGAGGCGGTGTCGAGGCCTGAGGATATAGCTAAAGATTTGTTAAGAGGAGCACTTGATTTGGAAGAGTCTATAGCTATGTTAAGTAGTATTCAAGAAGATGATAGTAAGCGGAAACCGAGGATTTGTAAAGACGGAAGAAGCGATTTGCGGTTTCAGAGATCGATGTCTGATAGATTCGGAGAGCGGGTTGAGAAACGGATGATGGTTCAAGAGAATGTAGCATCTAAGGATTGTTATGAAGAGTTAAGGAAAGTGATTAGAGAGAGTTTTCTTAGGCAGAATCTTGTTTCACAAACTACTACTACAGGGACTAAGAATCGAGTTGTTAGAAGCGATTTTGCTTCCTCTTCTGGAGCTGCATCGTCGTCAACTAGCTCGAGCCAATCTTCTATGGTTTCTGGCTCTACAAAGTCCTCTGCTTCTTCTGATATTCCACGGAGAGCTCCAAGTTTGATTGCTAGGCTTATGGGTTTGGATGTATCTTCTCAAGAACCGAGCAGAAGCACGGTGAATCATATCGATAAGCCGGATATTTTAAAGCTGTCATTAGAAAGACAAGAGAAGGTGAAGAAGAATAATAAGGAGAGTCCTGAAATTGTGAGATGCAACTCTATGAGAGAAGCTGTTTTACAATCTTTGCCTGAAGAGATTCCGAGCGAGAATCCCTCGACTATAGTACTCATCAGACCTATGCGTGTTGTACAACGCGAGATGGAAGAAAAGCCAGGAAACAAACGACCGGTTGTGCCTAAGAAACCGAGAATGCAAGGGGAGGTTCATCCAAGAATGATTAACCAGAGAAAAGATCATCAAGCCAAGGAAAGCAACAAAATGAAATTACCATTAAGTATGACCAAGAAAGACAAAGAACCGAAAGAAATGGTGTCGAAAGTAGAAGAGAATGAAGGTAAGGTGATCAAGCTAATGTCTCCGAGCAATGGCAAAGCTCTAACTAGAGAGCGAAAACCGTTGGAAACCAACAAAACCAACAAAAAGCTTGTTGTCAAGAAGGAGGATATTGCTGAAGGTAAAGACAGACATAGACCTCATGACCGAGCTCTTAAACCACCTAGCAGTCCTGCTACTCAAAAGAAATCGAACAATTCTTCAGACGTATCAAGAAACAAGAGTCGACGTTCCAGCAGGTTGAGCTCAAGCTCTAGTAGTGGTAGCCGGGAAAAGAAGTCCGGTGAGGCTAGTAGACCAAATGTGAGCAATCTTTCTCACAGCCTCAATGCATAAAATTTCATATCTAATTTTACATACTTTCATTAACACTGTTTCTCACTTAGGCCAAGAAGAAACTCCGTCAACAAGACAACAACCTCGGTTCAGAGAATAATTCATGCTCTTCACAGGACACGCTTGGATCACTTAACCAACTTTCTACAGAGGAAACCACTACTTCTTCAGAGTTTCACAATCAAGGTTATTACTACAGTTCTCAACTCTCAGGATATTCTTAAAGTTTGTTTCTTTTGACAAGTCTCTACTTTGTTCTTGTAAAGGCCATTGTGACAATGGAGAAGTTTCATCTCATGCTGCCACAATTCAGCATTGTCATGAGCCAGAAACATCCCAACTCTCTCTTAAGTCATTCCTATCCAGCTCCTCAGAGTTCATCACCTACGCAGAGGATCTTTTCGACTTCAACACAAACACCGAACAAAGCCGAGAATCAAACTTTCGAAAAAGAGATAACATTGTGATCTCAGACCAAAGACTAGCACTAGACTTTGCCAAAGAAGTAGCCAAACGCAAAAGCCTTCTTCTAGCAGAACCAACGTGTCACACAAGAAGCTCTTTGCACATTGATGATGTGTTAATGGAAGTTTGTGATGGGTTTGAGTCTCTGAGAAGTTACAAAGACACGTTTTCAGGACAGAACAGCTTCGTTAAAGAGAGCATTCACTTGGTGTTGGAGAAGGATTTAAAGGGTAAGAAGACAGAGATGACAAGTGGAGTTTGGGATTTGGGTTGGAGAAATGAGTTTCAGATTGATGAAACTTATCAAGCTGTAGTTGACTTAGAGAAACTTATCTTGTCCAGTTTGATCCAAGAAATTATCTCTTGAGTCCACCAAAACAAATATCTTCCACTTTGTTTTTGTATGTATCTCTTAGTTTAATTTTCATAATTTACATTCTTTGTAAGCAGTTAAATATCAAAGTATTAAGTAAATTTTTAGTAACGAGCATATACAAAATGGTCTATATGGTCGGAACAAAATTATAACGACGAAGGTCAAAGGCATATAATCTTCTTCTTCTAGATCATGGCAAACTACACCACCTACTCGGGCTAGTATAAACATTTTATGTACCATCTTATTTGTGTTGATAAAAAGGAACAAAACATGTATAGAAGAATTATTATTAAATCCTATTTAGACATGTATTTGAAGAACGATACATATGTTCTTCTAATGGTGGTAAGTTAATGTGACTTTCTCATGGTCCGTAAATGATGAGATTTGTTTTAAGAAACAAAAAAAAAAAAGAATCATTACTTGAAAAATGTAGCTTTCATTTGCATCCACATAAGTATATACTAGAGAAGCTCACAATGAGACAAACTCGCCACGTCTTCCCCAAAATCTTAACGTGTCTCCCTCACACACTCCTTCGGGGTTTCCATTTTTTTTTTTTATCAATGTATAAATTTACCAAAACTACAATTTAACAAACTAATCCAAATTCTTTATTACTTTAGACAGAAGACGACAAAAGAGAATCCCAAAATGGCAAGTTTATCTATTGCAGCTTTCCTCCGCATTCCGCAACAATGCCCTCATCGCAGGTGCAACTCCTACTGCTAGAGTTCTTCTCCCCGTCGCGACAAAACACTTCCACGTACGTAACTATTATATCTCTTTGACCAAAAAAAAAACGTAGCTATTATATCTTTATTTATTTCTGATTACTTTTATCACATTTTAATTAATTAATGTTATTCGTAAGTTCTTGCAATTTTAATCAAAGACAAGTACGAGGATGGAGAATTCCGTTTCTGATGAAGCCAACAATGCAAAAGAAAGGTCATTCCTTTCTTTATAAATTAATATGATTTATAAAAAAAATATAATATGTCAAATTAGAAAATAAAAATGTCTTGTGTTACCAAATATATTGACAAAACAGTTTTGAACTGAATAAAACTGGACCGGACGTGTAGGTGGCGAAGAAGACGGAGGAAGGAGTGAAGACGCTGCCGGAAATTTGAAGGATAAGGTGAAGAATGCAACAGAAGAAACGTGAGATTAAGTGAAGGACACGACTGAGAAGATCAAAGACACGGTGACTGGAAAATCCGAAGAAACCAAAGACTCTATCAAAACTACTGCCAAGAGTGTCGAACGAAACATTTTTTTTTTTTTTGCTAAGAGAGTAAATATCATATAATGAAAATTAGGTGTTACAGAATATAAGACCTAAAACATTGATCCTTGACAAAAAAAGATAAAAACCAAGGATAAATACAAGATGGAATTGTTAAAATCCCTAGTGGAGCCAGAGAGACATAAGACGTCTGAACTTCTTCAAGTGCCTCCTTGCTGTGATTGTGTTTATAACTTGCCTATCGATATCCTTGAAGATGGTGATCGGCGGAACTATAATCTGGTTGTGGAGCAAGTTGTTTCTCTGCCTCCAAACCGTATACACCAAAGCATGCAGTAAGACCAACCGCAACAATTGAGGAGAGGAAGCGTTCCTGACCTTACACCAGTTCAGGAGCGAGTCCCAGCTAGTGAACAGAGGGTTTGGTAACCGTAGCCGCTGCCAAATAGCTGACCAAATCACAACCGTGAAAGCGAACGAAACATGAACACCAAAAAGTGTAAATATATGACTAGATTAAGTATTGTAGTGAATCTCTTAAATATGTATTACAAACCGGATGGAGTTTGTTAACTCTTGTGAGATTTGGCTTAAGTTTGTATTGGTTGTGTTAGGAGAATTTGATTGTGTACCGGGTTTCTAATTTTTCAATTTTTAGTTCGTTCTCTAAAAAGGCACATTTATCTCTAAAAAAAAAAAATTAAGACTCATAATCTCTTAGATCGAAGATCTGAACACGTTATATAAGTCTCTTATATATTGCTATAACATTCGAATTTGGATCTTTTTTACTTTTCTTTTTGGATGGTCGGTATCGTATGAAACTACCAAACATATATACAAATACGAAGAAACAAGATTCTAACAAGTATTAATAGTTTAACTAGTAAAATCTAAAGATCGACGGTTCAAGTGACACTTTCTTACTTAGAAAAATATCATATAAAATATTCTAATTTCTAGTCTAAAAGAATATACGGGTCTAAGCCCAAAACCTCTAAATCATTAAAAAAAATAAAAAAATACGATTCTTTTTTTTTATTCATACAGTTTTTGTGGTTATTAACTTATTAGTAGCCGGCCGGAGTTAGAGACTTTCATATATATATATATATATATATATATAGTAAATAAAATCAAGTGATGGTTTAGAAGAACAAAAATACTGTCTTATATATGTTTCTCAACACACGTACTCCTAATGATAAAGTAATTTACAAAGTTTTGGAGTAACAATTTAATTCTTGAACCACGATGATTGATGGCCACACAAGCAAGAAGATCGAAAGAAAGAAAAAAAAAAGAAAAAAAAAAAAAGAAGATCGAAAGATGCCTGCGCAAAAATGATAGCGTTTGAAATGTTTTCTTTGTTGAAAAACGTTTGTACAAAATGGAAACATGTATTTCAGCTAATCATGTGGACTTAAAATAAAGTCTATTAATAGAATGCGAAGAAACTAGTACTCCGTATTAATATATATCCCCTCACAGGCATGCTAAATATAGCGACATTCGTATTAATCTCGAAACAGTTGGAATACCTTCTCCTACAAGTTTTTCTTATGTTGGTAGCATCATCTCATAAACTATAATACTATCTTATTAGTAATCACCTTACGAGTTATTACCACAACCACACGAAAAAAGCTTCTCTACTTTAGGAAAATACTAAAGTATACCAATACCACTAATTTGTTTGGTTTCTCCTGACACAAGTATATTTATTTAATAAATAAAATATATTTCACATATTTATGTAATGCAACTAATGAATGACATAAGGGAAGAGAAAAAATATACGAAACATAGTCGTGGCTGCCTGTAATTGGACAAAAACTCAATGCTAAGATAAGTGTAGAGGCATATGCAAAGGCACAAAGCTCACGTAAGGGTTTACGTGTAGTTATATAAGTAGTCAACGGGAAGAAACAAATTGTATAAATATATATATATATATATATATATAATGAGTTTTACCACATAAAAAAACATTTATTTTGAGATTATAAGTTTATAAGTTTGTATGCGTACGTCTATATATGTACTGCTCTTCTATATCTTAACCTAAAAGTTTTGTATTTGATGTATAGGTTTTTCAAATCATAGACAAAAATATGTTAAACTACTTTTAGTTTTTCTTTCCAAAAATGTTAAGTTTGTACTAGATACGAGTTATATATAGTACTACTAGATATTTATGGTTTCAATTGTTTGACGAAGAAAAGAACAAAAAGAAGAAGTAAAACGTAGTTATTGGTGGACGAGAGATAAAGAAGATTGCTTTGAAGTCAGAAATGGTGACACGTGGCAGTATATGAAGACAACCCGCCGCTTAAACCACGAATGGTGACGAAAGGCTTCTTGTTTGCATGTGCAACCAATCTCTCTCTTTCTCTATGCCTTTAGTCTTTACTAATTTTGGTTGTTCGTAGAAAATGAAAGAATTGAACGAAGATAATGGTTGTTGATGTACGTACGTCTCTAAATCAGGGTTACAAAATATATGCGTGAGATCAGTTTTGTTATTTGAGTGTGAACAATCGTAATATATTAGACCATCCCCAACAAAGAGTTTTCAAGAAATTTTTAGCACTAAATCTTACAAAAATTAAATGAATAATTTGCCTAAATCCTAAGAACCAGTTGTTCTTATATAAGAGCCCAAGAACCAGTTTTTAGCATTAATTCTTAGCATTTCTCTTTTTTTTGAGAATGTCTCTGAAATTTATGATAACCCACAAAATTTGATCCGAATCCGAATCTGATCTGAACCTGAACCCGAAAATATCCGAATGTTTTATTCGAAGACCTGAAATTTTACCCGAAATTTAAATTTTTAACCGAAAACCCGAATATTTATCCGAAAACCCGACAATTTACTCGAACATTTATATAGCGGGTAATTTAGCTGTTCTGAAAATCTATACCCGAACCGACCCGAATCTGAAAGGATCCGAACCGAAACCGAACCGATTTTTTTTATTTACCCTATTGGGTTCTAAACTCCTCAACGCGAAAGATCCGTAACCAACTTTTTTTATTTTATAAATTACAATAATTATTAAGTTTTCTAAAATTAAAATGTTTATATTTTTCATTTTTAAATTAATCTTTTTTTTTAAGAACCCCAACTTAGATTCTATTATTGGATAATGCCAAACATTAAAACCTTTACTCAAACCCATAAGTATAAAATTTTCAAAATTAATAATAAAAATATTGTTAAGAGTCCTTGCTAATATATTACCATTGTGTAATATATGTGTAAAATATGGATCTTAACTATGTTTTTGTTGCTTAGCTAAGACACTCTCTTAGCAATAATAGCTTAAGTGGGATTTAATTTTAATCATTTATTGCTAAGATCCAGCTTAAGATTTTCTTAAGAACCTGCCATTAATCATGGTCTAGAACATCCGTCCTATTAATCTTAACTATAAAATAATAGTATATCTAATAAAATTTAATTATTTTAATTAATTTAAATTTGTTGAAAAAATTAAATCACTATCTATGTGACATGTATTATATGGGGTTTTTTACTAAGAAACCATAATTTATCAAATGAGAACCGCCCTCACCTCTCTTTTATACCCTCAATAAAAATATTTTTATATATCTATAAATGTCTTTGTTTATCAGTTTAGTTACAAAATTACTAACGGTTAAAAGATAGGGATAAAATTTTGATATTTATTCTTCTTTAATGTTAAATTTTTGGTCAAATATTCAAATTTTAGCAAATATATATGATTAGTTATTAAGTGTATACATATGAAGAAAAGGAAATAGGTCACAAATAACGTGAAAAGAAACAAAATATTTGTTTTTTTGCCTAGTTTTACTGTATAATACTTTTCATCATACGAAAGAAAAACTGTTAAATAGTACATAAATGCAACAAATAATTCAACTAAAGTATAGCACTAATTTGTTTTTTTTCTAACATAATTGAACCTTTTCTAATTTTAGTAAATGGGCCGACATCCATAACTTTTTGGATCAAAAATTAAAAAGTAGGTTATATAAGTCTTTTTCCTCGTCATCGATATCCGAATTTAAGCTTTTTTCTTATTTTTTGGATATGCAAGTAGTATGTGTGTCGACCAAAATTTATTACAAACAAATTAAAAAGAAGATTTGTATATAATCATCAATCTAGTAAAACGCATTTTCTCTTTTCGAAATTTATTTAATTGATTTACATAAGCACTAAAGGAATATAAAATTTTATTGAAAATAAACTAAATTCATTCTTATCATATATATGCTTCTCTTTCATTATATTATATCTAAGTAATTAAGATATTATATATATATATATATAATATAAACATGTTAGACTTAGATGTTAATAGCTAATTAACATGTTAGACTTAGATGTTAGACTATATATATATATATATATATATATATATATATAAACATGTTAATAGCTAATTAACAAAACTAATTAACTCGCAATTTCTAGACTTAGATGTTAGATTATTTTTAGTTAGAGAGAAATATCTCTCTAAAAGCCTTAGATAAAAACAAATCCACAATTTTAACATTTGACTACATAAAAAAAAATGCATCACTCAACATCAAAAATGCAGAAAAATTATAATTCAGTCTACTTTCCTCTATATATATATATTTTACATTTGCCAAAACTAAAAGATTGACACAAGTCCATTAATTTGTAGTACACTCAGGAAATGGATGAGTCACATCCTTAATCGTGTTCTCTTTAAGATTTTCCACGCGCAAAGTCTTCTTAGAGCATCTCCAATGGTAAGAACCATGTGGAGGCTCTCACAAATTTTTTAAACATAAATTTTGCATAATTTAAAGTTAAGAGCTTCTATTGAAATACAAAATCTTTTCCTCCTCCAATGGTAAAACTTCATTAGGGGTTCTCTTGTTTAAATTTTTTAACACAATCATGATCATCAATTCATATATAAAAAACAGAAGAAGCTCTTGTTGATTTTGGATTTGTAATCTGAAAACTAATGCTAATGCTGTTCTCTAAACCCATCTTCACAGGTCCTCCCATTATGCTCTCTGCATCATTACCACAAACTAGTTGTAGTCTATTCACCCATCCTGCAACAATGTCTCAATGTTTTAAAAGTAGCTCGATCAGTCAATCAACAAGAACTAGAGATTTCAATTACTCATCACTTCCAAGCTTGGAAAAAACTTGAAATGGAAGTTCCAAATCATCATAACAAATGATGGTAAAGGACAAAATTAATAAGAGAAGCCAATCTATTACCTGCAATTATATTCTAGAATCAGACTTAGACACATTCATAGATGAGATAGTGCTTTAGCTCAATCCATCAAGGTCATCATCACAGATACACTAACTAGTGACAAGATATACTAAACAAACAAGTTCCTAAAGGTTTAACTTTTAAGTCAAGTATAAGACTTATCAAACTTGCAATGAAGTTAAAGCAAATACCTTCCCCATCAAGGTCTTTTCTTCGAAACACCAGCCCCATCACTCTCCTCATTAGCAGCAACTTCAATTTTGCAATTTCCATGGATGATAGATGCAGCCTGAAAAAATAGTATCTGAAACTATATTATAGACTAGACAGAGTTAAAACGAAAAAGCTAGTCACAACCATTGAAAGTATTGGTTCTTTTGCACATTACCTGGAAAACTGGAACACCATGGAAGTCATCATCATCAATACCAGCTGTTTTCCTTTCCTGTATACACATATAGAAGATATATATAATTTAAAAAGCTCATGCACTAAACTAACACAAACTCTCCTCATTGATGAATGATGACAGTCATGTTCAGCAGCTATAACGTCTATGGTGACAAAAAGCAAAGCTTTTGAGTATCCAAAGATATATTCTATGGACAAATCAACTCACCTTCAAGGCATTTTTCACTTGAGTAGACTCAGGAATCAACCTAAATGCCACACCATTAACTTTTAACTGGAACACCTGCAACAACACACACACAAAAATCAAAACCAGTAAAGAGAACACAAATCGAGCTAATTGAGTTATTGATTCCTTATACCTTGATCATCCTCAAACCATTTACCACCATTAACAGGCTTACCACCATTTCTAGGTCTCACAAAGAACTTATTCGTCTCAACATAACCATTAGTTCCTGATCCTCTTGCGGTCTGTAACCCTATCCCGTTGTACATCTTTCAACTCTAAATCAAACCCTAAATCGAAAAAAGGGAAGAGATTTGGTTTCAGATTCAAAGCGGAAGAAACCCTTAAACGAAACCAAATCACAGTATCAAAGCAAACAGAAGCTAAAAGCAAAAGATCTTAGATTGAAGTCGAAAACAATCAAAACCAAAATTACCATAGATCTCCTTCAAAGCCTTCTCCTTTCTCACCTTCTTCTCCCTCTCCTCCTCCGTCAACTCCATAGATTCCACATCCACATCCACCTCCACCTCCATCCGTTGAATTTGGATATCCGATTTGCATATCTCTCTCACTCCCGATCGTGACATGCAGTGGGGAATCCGGCCTAATCGTCGCCGGCGGCCTCTCTATTCTTCCCTCAATCCTCGCCGGCGGCCTTAACCGTAACCTCAATCGTCGGAGAAAAGGCATCGCCATCGCCTTCGCAAAGAAACAGAGAGAAGAGTCGGGAAATGATCAAAAAAAAGGCATCGCCAACCCCTTTTTTTTTACGCATTTTTTTTTTTTTTTTTTGATCAAAAAAAATCGACGGCTGAGAGAAGGCCACGTCGTCGGCTCTCATGGTGCTCAACATTTCTCTCAAGAGAGACAGCTCTCTTCTTTTTTAACAGTTTTGATTTATTTTTCAAAAATAATTTCAAGAGAACCTCCAAAGAGAACCTCATTTTGCACCCATTGGAGATGCTCTTAGAGCATCTCTATTGGGGTTTCTCATCCAGAAACTTCCTATTAAAATATAAGAAAAAAATAGAAAAATGATGAAAGAGGTAAGACATGTAGACATCCATATTTACACATGTCTTTTTTTTATTGGTTCAAACTAATATCTAATTTATTAAATAATTAACTAATATAAAAGTAATATTATTATATTGTTCAGATACCTAAATGGGTGTGTAACTGATGGAGATGGTCTTAGTTTACCGTTCAAACATATTTCTTTAAGATATTTTTCCCTAGCAAAAAACGAGCTTCAAATGGAATTATATTTTTATAAACTTTCATTTCTTTATGGATCAAAACTATACCTCTCCACAATAATTAATTGCATTTATTAAATTTAATTTTCCTTTTAGAAAATACGACACAACATTAGATTATCGACCCTCTTGTGACTTAGGTTAATATTATTTAGTAAAAGAAAAAAGTCCCATAAGTGGATTTTATTTTCTGACTTGTTCACTTTTAATTGCTATATCATAAAGGATCCAAAGGTAAATTGGGGCCTTAATTTTGATCCAAATTGTCTTTTTTTTTGTGGCAACTAGCAAGCATAATGAATAAATGATCACGTGTTCTTCAACGATGGTTTAACCAAAATAGATTAGATTTCAAAAATCAAAAATCGACCAACATACTAGACTAACACCCTTAGGCCAAAACACTAGACTAACACCCTTAGGCCATAACTAACAGTGAATTTTATGTCTTGATTCTTTTTAGCGTCTTCTTACTGTTTACGAGTAAGAGTATCTCCAATCCACCTCTATATTTACCTCTAAACTCTATTTTAAAGGCAAATTTACTCCAACTCACCTCTATTCTCACATCTAAAATAGAGATCTCTATTTTTTTCTCTATATATAGAGGATCTCTATTTTTTCCTCTATAAATAAAGCTAAACTTTTTTAGAGAAAAAAATAGAGGAACACATTGGAGTAAAAATAGGGAAACTCAACTCTATTATTGAGATAAATGTAAAAATAAGGAAATACATTGGAGATGGTCTAAGCCGAGAAAGAAAAGGTATAATTTGCATTCTCTGATAGAAAATATTAACAACTAGGATATGACCCGCGGTACACCGTAGGTTAATTATTTGATTTTTTTATCTTTCTATAAATTGATGAATTTGTTGTGTATAATATTTGTTGTTGTACACCGCGGGTCAGATGTGTTGTAACTAAAAAGTAAATATTTTAAATTGTATTTGTTTTGTTTAGTGTTTAAGATTGTATAATCGTATTTTGATTTGTTAATTATCGACCTAAACCCGTCCCACCATATAATCCCATCCTGTGAAATTATACATTATTTTGTTATTTTTTTTAATAACACTTTTATTTAAAATACATAATTCGAATCAATTTAAAAGTTTGCTTTCAAATGGTTTTTATAATATATATATATATATATAGATATATATATATATATATATATATTTAAATTAGTGTTTGGTTTTGACCAACCCGTAAAAACAATTTATAATTATATCTCAAAATACTAAATAATTGTATTTTGATTTGTTAATTTTTGAATTTCACCCGTGGTATACTGTCACGTTTTAGATAATTGTATAAATTAAGGAAAAATCCGAATGACTCAATTTCAGGTCAGAATAAAAAAACGACATGATTAAATGCGCAATTTGTTCTTAAAAAATGTTAATATAGATTACACACATACTTTTTTTTTATCGATTGAGTAATATATGTCCGTTTTAAAAAATTTGAATCATAACATATGCAGAAAAAAAAACTAAAATTTATTAACTATATATATTTTATAATAATTTAAAATAATAAAATATAAGATCAAATAAAAGTGAAATGAGAATCATATATTTATATTTAAATTAGGTAGAGATGTTTAAGGAAATTAACTTAAATTTGTTATATTAGCATTAAATCATCATATTTGATTTCCTTATCTATAAAAATCGTAAAGAATATACCATAAATAAAGAGTTTAGATATAGTAATTAGTTGAGAAAATATATATTTTAGATTTTATTAAATAATTTCATTTTTAAAATTTGCCAACATTTAAGGAAAGATCCGATTGAAGACTTCCGAGTCAAAATTAAACAAATTTTTGACCCCATTGGATTCCTTAAAAGTGTTGCAAAAATGTATAGTAGATATCTTTAAGGTGATTGATGTAATGGTGTAAAACAACGTTTCTTCCATTCACAAAGCCCCTTTTAGCCTCATACTGGCTTGGCTCTGACTAATAACATGCATAATGGCAGAATGACGTTTTCTAATGCGATTATGCAAGAATTTTATCAATCAATAAAATTTGCATAATATTTACCAAAACGCGAAAACACAAAAACCTAAAAAAATAAAAGTAAAAATTTACTTTGCATATAAATGAGTATACAATTGTTTATTTTATTATGCGATTTTTCATTATAGGAGTTTTCATTCTACGAGTTTTTATTCTGCGAATTTTCATTCTACAAATTTTCATTCTGCAAACCTTGCTTCAGAATGCCTTAGATTTTAAATCATTTTCTTCGACAAATTCTTTTATACATTTTTTCTAGTTTGGTTAAGTTTTTTTTTATGAAATGTGAAATTTATATATAAATCAAAATCTAAATATGTACATTAGTTTATTTGTTTCCTTAGCCTTTAACCAATGTTTTGACGCCCGACCCGAACCGTCCGATCCGACCGGTTAACCACGAGCCAAACACTTTTCCGGTTTGGATTTAATGCTAATATCTGGCAATTTAAAAACCGGAAAAACCCGCCATTAACCCACGACCAGTGAACCGGTTAAACCGGCCGAGTATGGGTTTCAAAAAATTCATTTGATTATGGAATAAAATATAGGATTTTAGACTCTATTCATTTATTTTTTGAAATTTTTTTCAGTTCTTAGACTCATTTGATGTTTTAGATTTTGATGAAGACTTCACAATTTTGCCTGTAGAGAATGAATGAAATGGTGAGAGAGACAACCGAGATTAGTTGTTTTGAATTCGCGAAGTTTTATTAGTTTATTTCAGTCATATGTTACGGTTTTAGACTTTTAGTTGGAATTAAAAATTTGAACAACTTTATTATTATTGTTAGACTTCATATTTTTCAAATATAGTATGATTATTTTTATTTTTATAACAACTATATAATCTCTAAAAATATAAAATATATTAAATAAATTTAATCAATTGATCCGTGGTCGAATCCGGTTGACCCAATGATCCGGTGAACCGGACTTCTCAATGAGACTCAAGTTTTTTGAACATTTCTACCGTCTTAAACCAATGGGACTTCTCATTGTTAACACTTCTTCTCTATACCAATGGGACTTCTCACTGTTTTTAGAGAAGATTGAAAGATAAATCTTGCCGTCCGGAAAAAATAGGGATTTTCCCAAGAGAGAAACTACAATAAATGTTGATGTGTTTACATGTAAAAACGCATGTAATAAATACAAGTACCTATTTCTTTCTACAACAGGTTTCACATGACCTGCTCAATTTCATTTTGAAGGCAACGTCGAACCTGGCCTGTTTGTAACTAAACTTTTTACAAATACAATAAAAAATTTGTTTTGTTTTCCTCATAGCAGAAAAAATAAAAGAAAAACTCACAAAACATACGTTGTTCTATAATAATATAATATGTTAAAGTAATTATTCCAGGGTAATAAAATCCGTGGCTGCCTTTTCCACTTCAATAGGAAAGTGCAAGTTTTTCGAATCTTTTTGGCCAGATAATTTAAAACCGACCGAGGAAACTTACTTTTGTAAAAGTGACCATAGGAAGTAGAAAGTTGATAATTGGAAAATTTATAATATTCTATACAAAAGAAGTGTTTAAGAACCACCGCTTGGTCTCACCACTCAAATTCGAACGTATGGCTCGTGGGCACAAACTCCTGTACCAACCTTTAGATACTAGCGGCACGAGGGGACTTCTATTTTCTCTTTGTTTTAGAGTTTTTTATCGACTTAAATATGTTTTCTTGGAACCATTTAATTTCAAAACCAATGTCTCTTTCTCTAAGAACTTTGTTTTTATTTCTCAATTACTATCTAAATAGAACTTTAAATGTTTTAAGTATTTATGAGCTCAACAATTTTGTCAATATTGCCACAAATTTAAACGTTTGCTTTTGTCTTCTTTGAAAAATCAAATGCTGAAAAACTGTTACATCTCTTTTTCTTAAAAACTCTTGTCTCTCTCTTTTTCTTTCCGCTGAGATAATTGAATGCTGCAAAAGAGAAACAGAATAACTTAAACCCAAATTACACTTATCACCAGAAAAAAGAGTTCAGTTCAATCCAACATTTTTTATACTATAAAATTTAATTTAATTAGTAAAAAAAAACTTCCATATATATCATGGACCAAACTGGAACGCATGGGGCTCTCTTATTTTTAATTTATTTTCTTCTTTGAGTGATTTAACCAATATATACTATCTCTCTCCATAATTGCTAAAATAAAAGAAGGAGAGAGTCTTCTTGTATTTATCCTTCATTGGAGTAAACCCAAACGGTTTTAGATTACATATTAGCTGTTCATCAGTTCTTCCTCTCTAAAAACCTAAACCTCTTTCTCTGTTCCATTAGAACCAAAAAGACCAATCTTTGTGAACAAAACACATCTCGTACACACTTCAGATCTAGACACAAAATTTAGACCGTATTATAATTGGTCTTTGTTCATCTGAAGTTGGAGGAAATAGCTAGCTTTGGTCGGATCTTTTCATATGTTTTGGATTCTCTTTCTTCTCTTTTGTATAATTTTAACCTTGTCAAGAGCTCTTTTTGAATCTCAAAATATTATATAGTAGTTTATAAGATTTACATGTATATGTATAGCCAGATAGTTTATGTTGTTTGAGGATTCGATGATAGGCAAGTTGGGTTGATTTTCTTTTTCCTTGCCTCCTTACTCACATACAAACCCTATCTGTCCGTACAAACACTAAAAACCCTAACTTTTTTCTCTCTCTCTCTCTCCAATCTAGTTTATCGTTTCATTTCTACTAAAGGACTATTCACGGATCCATCACACCGATGAAAAGCTTGCATGTGGCGGCTAACGGCGGAGATCTGGCTGAGGATTGTGGAATACTAGCCGGAGATGCTGATGATACTGTTTTGATGGATGGAATGGATGAAGTTGGGAGAGAGATCTGGTTAGATGACCATGGAGGAGATCATAATCATGTTCATGGTCATGAAGATGATGATTTGATTGTTCATCATGACCCTTCAATGTTCTATGGAGATCTCCCAACGCTTCCTGATTTCCCATGCATGTCGTCATCATCATCGTCTTCAACATCTCCAGCTCCTGTCAACGCAATCGTCTCCTCAGCCTCTTCTTCTTCGGCAGCTTCATCCTCCACTTCCTCAGCTGCTTCTTGGGCCATATTGAGATCAGATGGAGAAGATCCGACTCCAAACCAAAACCAATACGCATCAGGTAACTGTGACGACTCTTCTGGTGCATTGCAGTCCACAGGTTCCATGGAGATTCCATTAGACAATAGTCAAGGCTTTGGTTGTGGCGAAGGCGGTGGTGATTGCATTGATATGATGGAGACTTTCGGGTACATGGATCTACTTGATAGCAACGAGTTCTTTGATACCTCAGCTATCTTCAGCCAAGACGACGACACGCAAAACCCTAACTTGATGGACCAAACACTCGAGAGACAACAAGACCAGGTTGTTGTTCCGATGTTGGAGAATAATAGTGGTGGAGACATGCAAATGATGAATTCTTCCTTGGAACAAGACGATGATCTAGCTACTGTGTTCTTGGAGTGGCTTAAGAACAACAAGGAGACTGTGTCGGCTGAGGATTTGAGGAAAGTGAAGATAAAGAAAGCGACGATAGAGTCAGCGGCGAGAAGGCTAGGCGGTGGTAAAGAAGCGATGAAGCAGCTTTTGAAGCTGATTCTTGAATGGGTCCAAACGAATCACTTACAAAGAAGACGCACCACCACCACCACCAACAACAACAACAACAACTTCTCTTATCAACAATCATTCCAACAAGATCCATTTCAAAACCCTAACCCTAATAACAACAACCTAATCCCACCGTCTGATCAAACCTGTTTCTCACCTTCCACATGGGTTCCTCCACCACCACCACAACAAGCTTTTGTCTCCGACCCGGGTTTTGGATACATGCCTGCTCCAAACTATCCACCACCGGGAGAGTTCCTTCCTTTACTTGAATCTCCACCGTCATGGCCACCACCACCACCACCACCACAGTCTGGTCCTATGCCACATCAACAATTCGCCATGCCACCAAACACGCAGTATAATCAATTTGGAGAGCCAACAGGTTTCACAGGATACAACATGAATCCGTACCAATATCCTTATGTTCCTGCAGGACAAGTGAGAGACCAGAGATTGCTACGTTTATGTTCCTCAGCAACTAAAGAGGCAAGAAAGAAACGGATGGCTAGACAAAGGAGGTTCTTGTCTCACCACCACAGACATAACAACAACAACAATAATCAGCAGAGCCAGACCCAAATCGGAGAGACCTGTGCCGCCGTGGCTCCACAACTTAACACCGTAGCCACAACCGCCACCGGAGGGACCTGGATGTATTGGCCTAATGTTCCGGCTGTACCGCCGCCTCAATTACCGCCGGCAATGGAGACTCAATTACCAACCATGGACCGAGCTGGCTCTGCTTCTGCTATGCCACGTCAGCAGGTGGTACCAGATCGTCGGCAGGTAGACATGCACATTCATCTTTCTCATTATTTAGTTTTTAGCATCACTCAAGAGTTTGTGTAATTGCACCACTCGTTATGGTTTGATGAAGAAGCTGAAGATTATACATTTTTTTTTTTTTTGATAAAATGTGAATTGGAAGATTATACATTTGCAATGGAAATGAAATGATTTTTATTTTTTTTGGTTCAATTTTAGGGATGGAAACCAGAAAAGAATTTGCGGTTTCTCTTGCAGAAAGTCTTGAAGCAAAGCGACGTGGGTAACCTCGGAAGGATCGTCTTGCCAAAAGTAAAATTTTCTTCTAATTTCTTGTAACCTTTGCTTTCCTTTTTCTAAAAAAGTTTCAATGATTATGTAAAAATATTATCAAGTTTTTATTTTTATTTTTACTCTTTTTGGTTAGTTTTTATTTTACTGAAATTTTTAATGTTTTAGAAAGAAGCTGAGACACACTTACCGGAGCTAGAGGCAAGAGATGGCATCTCTCTGGCCATGGAAGACATCGGAACCTCTCGTGTTTGGAACATGCGCTACAGGTAACTAATTACGATGATAACTTGTTAATTTTGTCAAGATTTTTTTTTTTTATTTCGTGTATTTTGTCAAGATTTGGAACTCGATATCTTTCTTTGGTTTGATTAATTTTCTTCTTTAAATGCCTTTGCAGGTTTTGGCCTAACAACAAAAGCAGGATGTATCTCCTCGAGAACACCGGTACGTTTTTGAAAATGTACCCATTAATAATTTTCCTTTCTTTTGGTTTGTTTGTTCTGTTGTAATTATTATTGTTGTCGACGCCTAACTAAATTTCCTTAAAATTACGTTTATAGGCGATTTTGTGAAAACTAATGGGCTCCAAGAAGGTGATTTCATAGTCATATACTCCGACGTCAAGTGTGGCAAATATGTAAGAGAAACATCACAATACTTGTCTATAGTTTTCATGATATTTAATTCTCATCATTACTTTTTTTGTTGGTATTAATCTCATCATTACTTAATATTATGACAGTTGATACGTGGTGTTAAAGTAAGACAACCGACGGGACAAAAGCCGGAGGCTCCGCCGTCATCAGCAGCCGCCACGAAGAGACAAAACAAGTCGCAGAGGAACATTAACAATAACTCTCCGTCGGCGAATGTGGTGGTCGCTTCACCAACTTCTCAAACTGTTAAATGAAAAAACAGAGACAAAAAGAAACAATATAAATATTATTATGTACCAAATAAGAAAGAGGGCAAAAGGAAAAAATGGCAGCGTACCTGAGTGTGCCACTTCTCGTGCATGCATGGGATCTCGAAGACAAATGGAGGGTCATGATTAAAGCTGTATTGTCGGGGTCCGGGTTTTTACTCCATTTTTTGCTTTTTCTTGTCGAGTCGTTCTTTTATAACTCTTTACCCTTTTTACCTTCAGGATATTGTAGAGATGATTAATTCTGGAAATGGTGTTTGTGTTATATTTCTGGAGAGATGATTATATAGTTCTTTTGTTGTTGTAATTTGTTTATATTACGTATGAGGCTCATTTCTTGAGTTGAGCTTACATATCGTTTATGATGTGAATGTTTCGTGCGAATATATGTTTATATGGATAATAATGATGATAATGTACGTATTATTTGTAAAGACTAAAAGAGTACGTTTTTGTATGAAAGGGAAAGTAATTAGTAGTTAGGTCTAGGAATTTTGACTCTCAATATAGTTTGAGAAGTTTATTTTTAGGGGTGTTTAGGTTTGATTGGTTAATTTAGTCACAAAATGTGGCGTTGCGGACACTTGCGGTTACATGTATTAGACCAATCATATAATTAAAAGGTTTCATACCATTTTATAACAAATTTAATTTAAATGCGCCAAATCAAATTAAAACTTGTTTCAATCTCTCTTTTTTGCAAGCTATTGAAGTATATATATATGATTGGATTGCGTTAGAAATGGTATATATCATTTGTATATAGTTAATCTTTTTTTGTTTAACTTTTCCTTGTTTTCCAACATCTTGTTTTCACACCAATATCAACTTTTCTTTGTTAACCAATATAACATATTTTCACACAATTTCGACATGGTATCAGATTAAGGCGACAAAAAGATTTCGATTATTGCTATATTTTCCATGCGGTAAATTCACTTGAAATTTGTTTGATGCATGTCGTCATGGATGACGAGAGTCCATCTCGCACGGAAACGTTCAGAATCTCGATTTTTAACTAGAAAAACTTAATAGTTTTGTTTATCTCTATCTGTCAGTAGATCCAGGGCAGTTATGGAAAATACATTGAAGACAATGAATAAATTGCAATTTATCGATAAACATTTGTCAAGCCGAAGACCAGCTCTAAATCAACTCTAGGGTATGGTGAAATTAATGCTTATTGTTAGGATTCTCAATATGATTGAGACAAAACTTCAAAGTAACGTTTCATGTGCGGACACAGCCTTTGAACTTTGAAGAGTTTGCATGGACGGTTTTTTTGTCAGAAAGTTAGACTCGTATTTATGAACTAAAAGCCTCGATGACTTCATATAAGCAAGAAGGTCAATTTGTTCAAAATTACTTTGAAATTGTGACAATTAGGTTTGAACCCGATTTACTAATCCGCAAATACACAATTATTTTATCGATGTAGTAGCTACAAGATCGAACCCCACAAAGACCAGTGGAATTAACACCAACAAATCTGCGACGATATTATATTATGTTGATTAACCGTTCTTTGAAATCCAGTTAAGACTACTTATAGCATTGCCATTGGTAGACTTACACTTAAGGGTATCTCACAAATAAAATAATAATACATTTTAATATAATTTGTTATTAAATTTAATTTTAAGTGATAAAAGAGAGATGCCAATAATATTAGAACATGTGGCAGATTTATTGGTTCTCAAATGAGAGAAGATTCTCGTTCTCTTTCCTTTTTTTTTTTTAATGGTAAAAACTCTTTTGAGAACCCACAATAGATAGAGATGCTCTTACACATATTTAAAATTCAAATTAAAGAAAATTTCATGAAAAACATAATAGATTAATAAAATAAAAGCAATTTTAAATCTTCTCTAAAATGGTGAGGTTGGGATTGGAATCTTCTTCGGAAGAAGGTGTACAAGAGTTTAGAATTAAAGGTGTACAAGAGTTTAGAAATAAGTCAAAGGCTTAGACTTAATGATGGGCCTAACAGAAAAAAAAAACAATTAGGCCCCCTTTAAAACATACGCCCACAAGCTATGGACATTCTAAGAAGCGTTGTTACGTTTCCTTCACCACTTTTTATTCTATCACTAGATGAATATGTGTTAAAAATTGCAGAAAAAATATGATTATGGTTTTTGTTGCGCTTTATGTTATTTTGTATGTGTTATTATGTAATTAATAAAGTTATATCTATTTTCTATAGTTATAATTTTTATGATTATATTCATCTTTGACTCGTAATATTAATTCCACGTTTTTAATGTATAAACCTGATTATTTATATACCTACGATACATTATCATGAATACATACAACAATAATATATGATATATTGATACAATGGTATGTAATTATGTTACTTATGTGGTTTGAAATTTGCCTAACTTTATTCTAAACAAACAATTATTTATTCCATTTACTCTCTCGTCATCTAGTACGCCAACCACATCATGATATGCTAGTACTTTAAGTCAACACTTTAGATCTCTCTCCTTGCATACAACCATATAGGAGAGAGTCTCGTGTTTTAAATTTCTTGATATGTCTAACGTCTCAAAGGACCCTTAAGTGGAAAAAGTTGTGTGTCAATGTTACCAACTTATCATAACGAGCCTCGTTAAAATTTTAAAAAAATGATAATGTGTGTGGATCGAATTGCAATACACGCGCCCCCTTTCTCTCCCAAATTAAGAGACAGCGAAAAACCTATAATCAAAATTTCGATTTGCCCTCTCCGGCGACGGTGCTCCTCACCGGTTTCCGGAGAGGGCCACTCTCTCTTCTCCTTTTCTCTGGTTGTCTTCTCCGTGCTGCCTTTGTCGCTCCGGTGATGCTCTGTCCATGGCTGAGTTTTTGTCTCTTGATGGTGGTGAAGCGGCGAGAGATCTCGCTTCTCGCACGGTGCAAAGGACAATTTGCTAATGTCTCCCGACGAGCTCTTGATTTCGGTGCTTGAGGACGGTGCTGTTTCAGAGTTCTTCTCCGGTGAGTGTGGCTTCAACTCTGTCCTCGTGCGGCGTGATTCTCGTCGTGTTCTGGTGTTGGCTCATGTGAGGCATCTGTTCAGCGTTTAGCTCCTCGCAGCGGGACCATTCTCCCGATCTGAGAAACCGGTGGTGCATCGCCGTGTTCTTCAGTCATCGCCGTGGTTCCTCTTGTGGTTTAGGCTCACTTGTTTGTCTTGGCGAGACGGTTCTTCTCTTCTCGGTCTCTCTATCTTCTTTTTCTCCAGCACCAGCGGTGTCGTCTCCGGATAAGGCGGGTTTCTCTATTGGAGGCAAGCCTCAGGGTCACTTTGGTGCTCTAAGCTTGTTCGTTGCGGTTAGAGACGTTGGGGATTCTGATTTTGGTGGTCAACGTGTCGCCTCCATTGGTGGGTTGTTGAAGGTGGTAGCTTCTTCAGCTATGGGTATGGTTTCTCCGTGTCCGTTTGTCTTCGTCCCCGTGGCTTCTTCTCCGGTTTGCTTTAAGGTAGAGTTTTGTTGTTAAGGTGTTGTCGGGTTCGGTTCTTGTTGCTTTGGTTTGCTCTTGATGCATTGGCTAGGTTTGTCGAGTGTTGAATAGAGGCGGCGATTAGGTCTAGTGGCGTCGCTATCTCGTTGAGCTAGTGTAGAAGTCCACGATTGCTTTTTCGTTTTTGCGTTAGTTCTCGGAGAAGTTGTAGGCTTCTATCTCGAGGTTTTGAGGACGGGTCTTGGATAGATATGCTCGTGGCAACGACGATGAGGATTCCAGTTCTTCGCTTATGTGGCAACCACGCAAATTTTCGAGCTTCGCGGGCTCGGAATCGGTGTTTCTTCTTTTGCATCTTGGCCTTGACCGCTTAGCAGTGATCTTTTGCAACTTGAGTTGTAATGTTGTTTTTATATTTCTGTAGATTGCTTTAATCTGTTTCAAGTTTTTCCTGTAATTCTGTCAAAAATCAAAAATAGTATAAAATTTCACCTTTTACCAAAAAAAAAAAAAATTATCATAACGCACAAAAATAAAAAGAGAGAATGTCATATTCAGAAAACGTAACATGAAGTTAGGTAGCAAATATATAAACTACAACACAAGTAATTTTTAGCCATTATCGAGTAATGACCATCGATAAAAAAATTTAATAATATAAGAAGAGTAAAATGAAAGTAGTGTTTAATACATTAGTATGATCTTTTACTTTATTTTTTAGTTTTAAAAAAAAAACAATTAAGAGTGAGATTAATGGAAAATTTGATACAACAAAAGACTTTTGATTTTCTGTCAATTAATTTTGCTAATCTTTTTATTTAAGTAATATAGAATGACACATGTCATTTTCTTATGTGATGATGTGACACTCATATGGAGAGAGTTGGCCAACTTTTATATATATGATTTTCTCTTGTTTATCTAGTTAGCTTGAACCATTTGTATTATTGAGTAACGAAAATATTTTGAGGAAAAAAAAACAATTGTGGAATAATTATATTTTTTCCTCACATAGGTGTTGTTTGTTATACATCATTATTTTTTTTTTTTTTTTGGGTTAACAAAACCAAAACCTGGACCTCACCTTGTAAATAGAGAGATTCAAAAAATTTGATCTGACCCGTGCCAAATATCCACACCACACCTTTCTCCATTCAGGCCCTACTACAAAGCCGTAGAGGGTTGAAAACTTGAAAACATATGACTTATAATGAGAAACAAAAAAGAAAGTGGAGTTGATGAAATAATCTGATCTTATGAAAGTGAAGTTGATTACAAAAGGAGCAGCGTGGTAGTTGAATAGTTTCAGATGTTGATAAAGACGTGACATAGTTGTGTCAGTACTCAGTAATCTAATCAAGGATTCCTCATGTTTCTAATTTCTTCTTCTATAAAGTTGCATGAGATTTATATCTGGAGAACATATATTGCTCTAATTATGTGGTCTTATTATCATCAATATATGCCTCTTTCTACTTTTAGGATCGATATATATACATTTTTTTTCATTTCTAAAAGGATTCGAAATGGTGTAGCTACCTTAGAGATATTCAACAACAAATGTTTCGAACAAAAGTGTCGATTAGAATAAAAGTATATTAGGCGATTCTGTTCTTTTTGAAAAAAAAAAAAAAACATATTTAAAACCAGATTTTTTAATTCAAAAAAATCATATTTTTTGGTTAAGTCTGATTAGACTAAATCCGATTAGGTAAGTAAAGAAATTCATCAGATAATTGATTGAAACGTCTTATGATCTATGATTTTTTTTTTTTTGAACCGCATTTAGACAATTCTATAATACTAAAAGCCAAACTCGATAACATTTATTCCAACAATTATTTTTTTGAATCTGCTCTGACTCAAAATAGGTTTGAATGGTATAGTTTAGGCCTCGGCACAAGGCAAGTACTTGCTATTTTTCAAGTACTTGTAACTCGCCTTGACCCGTACAAGTAATTAAAATTTCGGCTTGATACTCGACTTGTTTGAGCAAGTACTTGCTATAACAAGTACTCGTCCAAAATCTTGTTACTTGCAAGTAACTTGACCCGGCTTGTTACTTGCAAGGTAACTTGACTTGGCTTGTTACTTGCAAGTACTTGTTACTTGAATCTTGAAGTCTGGAACATTTAATTTAAATAAAAAACTAATCTCATACATATTACAAAACATCAGAATTTTAAACATCATAAAATCGCAAAACATCCTAGAATTACAACACATTGAAAGTTCCAAAAGATAAGCATTTTAAAACAACTTGGTTCAAATTGAAATCATGTCTCTGTCTTCTTTCTTGAGTTCTTGTCTTCTTGATTCTCTTTTTTTTTTCCATATACATAAAACCAACATAACAAATGTTACTATTAGTGTATTACGCTTTAAAACAAAACTTGAAAATCATGAAGTATCCATACCTTTCATTCTTCCTCCAAAGCTAAACCTTTCATGTAATTGGTCTTTTTAGTTTTATACTAGTTTATAACATTGGTCATTGGGTTTTATAATTTTAGACTTTTAGTGATTGGGTTTAAATGTTTAATGGTCTTTATAGTTTAAATATATCTTGTAATACAAAACGGGGCGAGTAACGAGCCAAGTATCAAAAAAAATTATGATACTTGATACTTGACCCTTACTTGCAAGTAATGAAATTATACTACTTGGTACTTGCCTTGACAACACCGGGTACTTGTTTTTTCAAGGCGAGTACGAGCCGAATAGCGAGTACCAACCGAGTAACGAGTACTTGTGCCCAGGCCTAGTATAGTTGTAGTCTGCAAAGGGAACAATCTAGTTGAGTAGTTGTTTTCATGTCATTCATAAATTTTAGTCCATTGTAAAATATATTAGAACTTTTTCCTTTCTATATGCTTAGTTTTAAGAAAACAAATGTGAGTTTCTAAGTGGTTTTTGGATTATAGATAGATTTTGCAAAAAGGAAAAAAATGATAATTAAAAATTATAAAAGAAATTCTCGCTGCTAGAATCTCAAAAAACTCATTAAAGTGGGATTTTGGATTTTGTTTACAAAAATGCAAAAACTCTCAAAATCTAGATTCTTAATTTTTTTAGAAAAATCATTTTTTCCATAATCTTGATTGGATAATATGCTAGAAAACTACTAGTTCAAGGCCTCTATTTTCCTATGCCAAAAAATACTATATTCCCAAAAAACATAGAGCGTATTTAATCCAACAAAAAAAACAAATTATTCCATCTTGTTTGATGTCAAAACTCAAATCTAAAATATGTTTCGGACACCTGACCGGTCTACTCGATTGACACCATTGAAATTTCGAAATAGACAATATACACAAAAGGACATATAGACAACAAAAACTTCTTCTCACTTAGATATTCACATTTCCCATTTTTCAAAAAATTGGCTCTTCATTTTCTGTATACTTCCAACAAATTGTCTTCTAGAGAAACCACAACTACAAAAAGATTCCTCCACCTTCTCCATCATCCACCGTTCATTCACTTATCCTATGTCTCCAATGACTCATGTACGGTCAAGATTCAAGGACTAGGAAACATCCAATGAACCAAATTACACAAAAACTTCACCTTGATAAAAAAAACATCATTTTATTATTTTGGCAGAAAAAGTCTTAATTCGAACTTTGAGCGTGCTTATAGTTTAATCAATTAAAGTTATAAAGAAAAGTAACTTTATAAATTCAGGAGTAATCAGTAGATTTATACCATTCTTGTCCATTGCTTTAAGCCACACTTGATCGGACGGTAAGTAATCAATCCGGTTTACACTTTCTGATTATAAAGATTCCAACTTTTGGTTAAATCGGACGGTAAGGAACTAATCCGGTTTGAGTTTAAATCATAGCCGTTGAGATGTTTGACTAAAGTGTTTACAAAGTAGTCAACACTCTCTTTCTGCTACAAAGGAGCAGTCTTGAAACTCAAAGTCCTTACCTTTCCCTTCTCTAACCTCTCTCTTTCTCTCTCTCTGTCTCTTTGTGAGAAATGGGCATGGAAGATTTGAGATTTCTTCATGTTATCTTCTTCTTTGTGTTGATTCTTCACTGTCATTGTGGAACATCTCTCTCTGGTTCTTCTGATGTGAAGCTTCTTTTAGGAAAGATCAAGTCTTCACTACAAGGAAACAGTGAGAGCTTACTGTTGTCTTCTTGGAACTCTTCTGTTCCGGTTTGTCAATGGAGAGGGGTAAAATGGGTATTTTCAAATGGGTCTCCTCTTCAATGTAGTGACCTCTCTTCACCACAATGGACTAACAACTCTCTGTACAACGACTCTTCTCTTCACCTTCTCTCTCTTCAGCTTCCTTCTGCTAATCTCACTGGTTCACTACCTAGAGAGATTGGTGAGTTCTCTATGCTTCAAAGTGTGTTCCTTAACATCAATTCTTTAAGTGGGTCAATCCCTCTTGAGCTTGGTTACACTTCTTCTCTCTCTGATGTTGATTTAAGTGGTAATGCCATAGCTGGGGTTTTACCTCCATCGATTTGGAACCTCTGTGATAAGCTTGTTTCTTTCAAGATTCATGGTAATAACTTGTCTGGGGTTTTGCCTGAGCCTGCTTTACCAAATTCCACTTGTAGTAATCTCCAAGCTCTTGATTTGGGTGGTAATAAGTTCTCAGGTGAGTTCCCTGAGTTTATAACTAGGTTTAAAGGTCTGAAATCACTTGATCTTTCAAGTAATGCCTTTGAAGGTCTTGTTCCTGAGGGTTTAGGTGTATTACAGCTAGAAAGTCTCAATCTTTCTCATAATAACTTCAGTGGGATGTTGCCAGATTTTGGTGAGTCAAAGTTTGGAGCAGAATCTTTTGAAGGGAACAGTCCTAGCCTTTGTGGTTTGCCTTTGAAGCCTTGTCTAGGCTCATCTAGGTTGAGTCCAGGTGCTGTTGCTGGTCTGGTGATTGGTTTAATGTCCGGGGCTGTTGTTGTGGCCTCGTTGTTAATAGGGTATTTGCAGAACAAGAAAAGAAAGAGTAGTATAGAGAGTGAAGATGATTTGGAAGAAGGTGATGAAGAAGATGAAATCGGTGATAAAGAAGGCGGTGAAGGGAAGTTAATTGTGTTCCAAGGTGGTGAGAATCTGACATTGGACGATGTTTTGAATGCGACAGGGCAAGTTATGGAGAAAACTAGCTATGGTACTGTCTATAAGGCCAAGCTTAGTGATGGTGGGAATATTGCATTGAGGCTATTGAGAGAAGGTACTTGCAAGGATAGAAGTTCTTGTCTGCCTGTTATAAGGCAGTTGGGGCGCATTCGGCACGAGAATTTGGTTCCGTTGAGAGCTTTCTATCAGGGGAAAAGAGGAGAAAAGCTTCTCATCTATGACTATCTTCCCAACATAAGCTTACATGATTTGTTGCACGGTACTTGCTTTAGTCATCTATCTACTTTCCATTGATCTTTTTTGCTTGATTTAAGCTATTCATGTGTTGTAATTTGTTGTTTGAATTTTGTGCAGAAAGTAAACCTGGAAAGCCAGCTCTGAATTGGGCCAGGAGACACAAAATTGCACTTGGAATAGCAAGGGGACTTGCTTATCTTCATACTGGTCAAGAAGTTCCTATTATCCATGGCAATATTAGATCAAAGAACGTGCTTGTGGACGACTTTTTCTATGCAAGGCTTACTGAGTTTGGGCTTGACAAGATAATGGTACAGGCAGTAGCAGATGAGATTGTCTCGCAGGCGAAATCCGACGGGTACAAAGCACCTGAACTCCACAAGATGAAGAAATGCAATCCAAGGAGTGATGTTTACGCCTTTGGAATCCTTCTCTTGGAGATACTGATGGGTAAGAAACCAGGAAAGAGTGGAAGGAACGGTAATGAGTTTGTGGACTTGCCTTCTTTGGTTAAAGCTGCAGTGTTGGAAGAGACAACAATGGAGGTTTTCGATTTGGAGGCAATGAAAGGAATTAGAAGCCCAATGGAAGAAGGTTTGGTTCATGCATTGAAGCTGGCAATGGGATGTTGTGCTCCTGTTACAACAGTTAGACCCACCATGGAAGAGGTTGTGAAGCAGTTGGAGGAGAACAGACCGAGGAATAGATCCGCATTGTACAGCCCAACAGAAACCAGGAGCGACGCCGAAACTCCATTTTGAGTCAATTTGTGTTCTACAAGCTTTTTTCCTTTTGCAATTCCTCACTTTAGTTGGCTATATTTGTTTCATTGGCAAGAAACCATTCTGATTTGATTTTATCTATATTTGTTGATGAGACATGGTGTAACAGAAGCAGTTCAAAGTATTACTATTGATAGAAGAATATATGATACATGATGATACACCAAATGAGTAATGAGGCAGAAGAAGAATGCACTGTACTACAATATTGGAGTCGAGTCGAACAACACTGCGGCTCATCAAAGCTGGCCTAGGTTGACGAGTGGAAGCACAGAAGAGTCTAAAATGGTAAAAGAGAAAGAAGAGAAAAGAAAGGAGAAGATGAAAGTGTAAATGACGGGAACGAAGAAAACAAGTTATTTTTCTTCTTTTGTCTCCCTCAGCTAGTCAGTATCCTCTTCGGTCTTGGGTTTGAGGATTATACAATTAACTAACACCGCATACCGATCCTGCATCTAAGGGCACCAGAGCTGTAGGTGAGCATACTTACAACGGAAGCTGGTTTAGCTCCCAAACTAGAGGCTCTGGCATAGCTTGCAGGAGCAGCAGCTCCAGATTTAGTGAAGTAGGCACCGTTGAGCATTAGGTCTCCCTGCGATCTCCAGTTCCATTGCTTCCATTCCCCTTGCCATGAACCTACCCTCTTTGTCACCTACCAAATCAAATATTACACTTAGATCCATTTGTCCTACAACCAAAGGTGAGAAATCGGAAACTAGGAATGATGAAAGAGCAAAATTATGGTATACCTCTTTGGCAAAAGGGTTTCCCGGGGCAAGGAACCGATTGCCTTGGCTATTGATGGTAGGGTTAGCACTTCCACCAATTGCATACATTACCCAATGAGTATAATCATTGTTTACAACATGGAAATAACCATGTCTACACCTGAAATAACAACAAAAGAATCAGCCCTCCTGATTCTTGTAGCAAACAATCAGAGGACAGAAAACACGAAATGCATGACAAACCTCGGCATTCTCTGTATAAGCCCTTCCCCAAAATGGTTATATGCTATTGTAACTTGCATCAACTTGTCTCTAGTGTATGAATCACTATGCCCCATCAACATAACCTGCCATTCCCATCAAGAAAAAACATTATCAAAGCTCGTCGTCTCTGTCGCTATTAAGCTAAGATCAACACATCTTTAACACAGCCTACACAATTCAGTCCACTATAATAACTAATTAAGCTACTAAATCAACCAAAATCCACTCCAAAAACGTGATTCTGCAGCAAATTCATCACCATTTCCACAGAATCATCATTTCAAGCTCAGCAAAATTGGTAAACCTAAGGCAGTAGAATCAGCAAAGAAGCTAACCTCGTTGTGGTGAGTCATATAGTTATTGGAGATAGTAATAGCAGTAGATCCCATAATCGCATCAATCAATCCATCAGCACAATTAGACAAAGAATTATGATCAATCCAAATATGACTCGATCCAAAAATCGATATAGCATCACCATCCGCCATAGTCCTCCACCCATAATGCGACGGCGAGCTTCGAACCATAGCATTACCAGTCCTTCTACAATCATGTATATTAATCCCATGGATGATAATATTCGTCACAAACTGGATCGTGATACAAGCACCGCCTGCGATTGCAACGTTCACGCCTCTTCCATCGATTGTTTTGAAGCTATTCATGATTAGCTCTTGACTCAGAGTAATCACCATGTCGCGTTTGAAGACGATCCATAACGGACGATCTTGAATCACGGCGTGACGGAGCGTTCCTGGTCGTGGATTAACCGCGTCGTGGTCTGATGGATCTGTGACGACGTAGTAACGACCATCTCGTCCTCCGACTGCGTTACGACCGAATCCGATCGCGCAATTAGAGAGACGCTTTCGTCGGAGATGCCAATTCCGATCACATCTCCAACAGTCGTCGATTGGGTTTCCGGTGGCGCATGAGAACAATCCTAACCTCCTCCGCTCCGTACTGTTCTTAATCGTCCTATTAAATTAAAATAACAAAAAGAGAATAAAACTTTAAAAAGTTTACAAATTGACCCGTGAAGTTTTTGATTTCACATTAAAACCCAACAAAGTCACGTGGAGGAGAAGAAGGAACCATGTGGTGTAATAAATGTAGCCATATATACGGAATCATATGATACGGACCATACGGAAACTTTTTATATCATTTTTTTTTTTTTTTTTTTTTTTTTTTTTTTTTTTTTTTTAACTTTTTATATCATTCTTTTTATTTTATTTTAACTTTCTATTTTTGTGATGTTTTTAAATAAATGTTGAATATATAGAATCTGATATATTTTACACACAAAAATGTGAATGCATTAATTACATATTTTGCGTCGGTGGGGGAAAAATAGCGACGACAGAGGCGCTTTAAATGGCGATCACGGCGTGTCTGTGTCATATAAAACCAAGTTGTGCAAAACTTCTGGTCTAAAAAGAGGTTTCTAAATTAACAAATAGAGAATTATACATTTATGGGAAAATTATGGGTGCAATTTAATTATATTTTTGGTTTTTCCTATGTAAAGTAAAATTTAAGGAACCACACAACGTTTGACTATCTGAAACGTTACTATTATGAAAGTGAGATGTACATAATGTATACTAAATGCTAATTAAAATATGTTTTATATTTGCATAAAAACCATATATTAAAAAAGAGAGAGAGAGAGATCTTACATATCGACCATTGCAGCTACTTCTTCTGGGTTTTTAACGGCGTGTTCATTCCATGCACCGTCGTCGTTAGGTAACCTGAGAAAATATAGCATTTTTAAAACGACATCGTTTTCGACCGTGTAAGCATCGTTTTTGATCAAATCTGGACGACTGAGATTGACTAGAAAGTTTTAAAACTCACTTATTAGCCGTTGATGAATTACTGGAGCTATGAGACTTTAGCTCCTCTGTTTCTTGAGCCCTGTAAGACAAAAATGTAGAGACAAGTTACATTCTCTATAGCAAGAATTAGTACAAAGATTTGAATGTTTTCGAGAATCTTGAAGCTTACATTGTTGATGCATTTATACATAATGCTAGAATGATTAGAGTTGCTGAGAGAGCGAAGAAGCTTCTGCTAAAGATCGCCATTGTTGAATATATCAAAGCTCTCTCTCCTTTTGTGTATAATGAAGAAAAATGTGAAAGGAGAGAGAGAGGAAGAGATGTAATTAACTTGGAGAAGCTGAAGAAGATTTAAGCTTATATATATAGGCAAGTAACGAAGGTGGGAAGAAGCAGCCTAACTCCGTTAATTGTTATTTGGCTCGACGTTAGGATTTGTCTTACGGTGGGCTAACGGTGGGATCAGTTTCTATAACGGCGTTTGTTAACTGCCGTCTTCCGATCCGTGATTGGATCATTTTTTTTTGTAGGCTTCCGTGATTGAATCATTGTTTGACTTCAAAAATCAAAACATTATTTTCAGCCTTAAACCAAATTAATTTGTTTGGGAGGTATATTGCCACTTTGCGGGTTAGTTATTTCTTACCAAATTTCTATACTTATCAAAATCTTGAGAATTTATAAAATTTTGTCTGTTTTTTGTTTTAAAGTGTATATGTAAGAGTATTATTTTTTCAAAAAGAAAAGTGTGTAAGAGTATTTTCACATGTACTAATCAAACAAATATTTATAATTAGTTTAAGATGTTTAAGAGTTGAAAACATAAAATATAAAACACTAAAAACATTTAAAATATATTTCAATAAATTTATTATCTTTATAACAATATACCAGTTTAACTGTTTAAATATGAGTAGTAATCCTATCTTCTAGATAATAAATTAAAACTTTAAATTATTAATCACTATAAAACAGAAAATTTAGTTTAATACAGTACATCAGTCATAGTAAAACGGAGGCATAATATTATAGCTTCACTTAACAAAAAACTATATACAAAAGTAAGACTTTTTCATCGTAAATTTATACTTTTATGCAAAAAATCAATTCATTTTCCTAATTTAAGTAAAAGAAATTAGGAAATTTATGGAAAAAAACACCACTTAAAATTTTTGTTTCAATAAGATGAACAGTCGTGTATTTTTGATAATTGGGAGTTCTTGAATTAATTTTCAGTGAAGAGCCGGATATTCTTTTACTTTAAAATGAAAACAATGACCAACCATATTCGAAGTGGCGATGGAAGAATTGAAACAATGATCACATTACCTATAATTATGAATCGTTACTACTGGACATATATAAGTTTACATATTACATAAGTTTGATTACAGATTACTAATAGTTAATTACATAATTTATAAGTTTCTTATTGTCGGTGTTTCGCCTTTCGGGTACTACAAATTGCATGGATACAGGATACCACGTCTAATTTTATGTTTAATTTTCTATAGATATTATTCGCTAGTTTCAATCAAAACGCCGACTTGAGAAAATTTGAGGTTAGGTAGCGTTTTATAATAAGAGTTTTGACGTCGTGGTTATGGATAATGCCATGCATTTTATTAATGTATTTGCATGTCTCTTTTTTTGTTAAAAGGTATAATGTAGTACTTGAGTACAATGCATTATGCATACACCCATACAGTCATATAGATGATTTTATATATGATGTAAAGAAATGTGATGGAGCTCAAACTTACAATAATCTTAAGCATGTGATTTTGGCTAATACTTGAAGTCAATTTCTATAAATTAAATCTAAGGTCTATATGTTGTACTCGAACATAATTTTAAAATGAGTACACATTGTTTGTACCGAGGTTGTAACAATAAATATGTAAGGGTTTTTAGGGAGAACGGAGCAGCTTCTTTATTAACGATGAACGAGAGAACCAGAATGCAGAACGAAAACCAGAAAGTTAGAGATAAATGAGCTAGGCAACAATTTTCTCTTAAATTCTCTGGGTAATGACTTTAGGTCCGGATCCCCCTCTTTGCAACAGTGTCTTCCACTATTTATATGCTAGGAGCTAACCTAGGGTTCCCTTTGTATCTCTTGTGATTTTTCCTTTTTAGCCCTCTGAAATTATCGGGCCGGGCCGAACGGAGATGCATCGAGCCGACATGCTATTGGGCCGCGCCGTTGCTTAGTCGGGCTGAGCTGACACACTGTTAGGATGAGCCGTCTTCATTTGGGCCGAGCCGAACGGAGATGCATCGAGCCGACATGCTATTGGGCCACGCCGTTGCTTAGTCGGGCCGAGCCGACACACTGTTAGGATGAGCCGTTGCGCAGCTGGGTTGAGCCGTCTTCATTTGGGCCGAACCGTCGATCTATTGGGCCGAACCGTCGTTCCGTTGGACTAAATTTCCCAATAAGAAACATGTTAGCTCAATCAATCCTTGTTTGGGCCGAATTAGACGTAGAGGGCAAAACCCGTATCCCACACACATTTAGTTCGGAAGATTAATTATATTTTTTTTATGCCAACCATAACTAAAACTCCCGATATATATTATACTAGATCATGACCCGCACATACGTGCGGGGTTTCATATTTTTTAAAAAGTTCTAATAAATTTTAATTCAATATAGATTATTTTGTTGTTTCTATGATATATATTTTAGTGTATTAGATCTAGATTCACATGTACGTGCAGAGATATTTTTATAGAAATTGTTATATAGATTTTAAAAATATATATTATTTTGTTGTGTTAGTGAACTTTATAATAGTGTAAATATTATAAAATTAGAGTAATGAACGAAATTCAGTTGCGTTAGTGCATAGTTATATTTTAAGATCCGGACCTACACGTATGTGCGAAATTATTTTTAAGATAAAACTAAGATATAATTTAGTTGCAAAAGTTAAATGATGTTACTTTTTTATTTTCTAAACTAATCAAAACATTTCTAATAGTTTGATTACATGTGTTAAATAGGATATAGATTCGGTTTGAGTTTGGTTATTTCATGTATATTAGCTAGGCGTAACTATTTTCTGTATCTGTCATAAATTCTTGGTCCCATAACCCATCTCGTATACGTGAAATAAAAATATGACGGTCCAGTATCCGGCATAAATAGAATATGTGTAACTGAAAACGTACGTACAGGGTTATGTATGTAAACAAATTTATTTTATATAGTGCTCATAAACTGAACTCATACCAATTGGGTATTTAGTTTGATTTTTAATTTATGTTCCCCTCTCATCCCGTCTCGTAATTCCTATTTTCATTTCTTTCCATTAAAATCATGTTCCAAATTCTTGTTTGTTTGCTTACTTTTAAATACCATACAATACATACTGTGAGTTTTGCAGATTAATATATATGCTGCTAAAGTTACAAATATATTTTAACAAATTTATTAATGTTTCTTTCCTTAGCTAAATTTTGCATATTCTTCTTTTTATTGTTTAATCATAATTAATTTGATTTTTGGACTAAAAATAAAAATTTGAGATACATCTCTAAAAGGTATATGTTATTGCTGCATAATTTGTTTTGAATTCAAAATATATAATTAGTTTACATTATTTGAAAACAGTGTGCAATATATTAGAGATTTATTTAAGGAAGATCCGGTTGAAAAACAAAAAATAAAACGCAAAATAATTTAGAAATTAATATATACAATCTATTGTTAGATATTTATCAAACTTGCGAAGGCTATAATGATAATTACTTTAAATTTATTATTATTTGAGTTTATTTTATCATTAATATAAATAGTTGTTAATATCTAATATCGTATTTTAGAAATTGTGAAATAAATTTTTTTTTTATATTTTTAAATTTGTGAAAATATTATAACAAAACTGAATCTTAAAATATTTGTATTTAATTTTCTTGCGAAATTTTAAATTTAATCTTAAAGTCCTCCATTGATAAATCTTTTAAACGATAGTGTTTTAATTTTGAATTAAAATGATATTATTTTTCTTTTTATTTTTGACATAGAATAGTCTTTTTAATTTTGAATTCAAGTCTTATTGGTTAACAATTTTTTAAAAATTAATTTTAAATTTTCGTTTATAATTAATAAAAGAGAGAAAATTAGTCTTTTTTTGGAAATTAATAATTATTTAAAAGAATTATACTATTTTTTATTTAAATATATTAATTTTATGATTACTATTGTACCCTTAATGAAGTTATTTAAAAACACTAAAAACCAATGGCATTTCATGTAATATTTTACTCTTCATAAGGTTAGTTAATATTTAGTGATTCCCAATTAATAATATAGATTTAATTATCTGCAATGTCTAATGTTTAGAGGAACTACGAATGAAAAATCAAAGAACACATGTATTTTATGGTCGGAATCTTACCGTACAAATGATAATATCAGTTAAACTTTGCGAAATATATTCAAGGAAATTCTGGTAACAATTGTGGTCTATATTATAATATATCTATCTACTTCAATTTTTAATTTCATTAATAGATACAAGCTGACTTCTTAAAGTTTAATAGATACACCATGGTACAGCCATTGCATCCATATGCCGTACGAGTATATTATCACTAGCTAATAATCATATATATTCGTAGCTTCAAATCAGGAAAAGACATCTCATTATGGATAAATTTATATAAGCAATCTCATTCTCATATAACACGGACTTTTATATATTGTAACCATATCATTTGTGCCCCCATGTGCATATTGATGTTTATGGAGGGTTTTCTCAAAGAAAATCGAATTCATGAAATAAAGTTTGAATGAAAAATGCGATGGCTACAATTACATAAATTACATGGACCCTCAAAAAGAATGTAAATGAAATTTTGATTTGAGACAAATCAATCGATATATGCACTTTATTAGTAGAAAAATATAGAATTACATTAAAAGTATATAATACATGGAAAAAGGTGGGAAGTTTAAGGAGGGGATTACTCTAAGCACATTTGTTTTGGCATTGACTTTTGCACGTAAGACAAGCCACATGGCCGGCCGGTTATCACCGTTAATCAAGACACATGAACATTACTTCGATTTATTTTAGTATTTGATAACCCAATTAAATTTACTTAATAATCCACTGTATTATATCCTATACATTTCTTTTTCGTTATTTAGTTCCTTGACTCCATTAGTTTATATATCTTCCTGTGAATATTTAATAAGTCATACACATTTCTTTTTCTGTTTTTACAATGTCCTTGATCAAAAGCTTGAACTGGAGTTTTATAACTAAAATTTGAAATATTATAGAGGTTAAACTAATAATAGGTGTACATTAATAATAATCCCAATACCGAAGTCATACTAATTTCCGACCCATAGTGAATTTTGTTACAAAATAATATAATAATACGAAATATCACCACATATAGTTTCCCATTATGATAGATTCTGAGTTTATTTTTAGCACACTAGAATGTGATTGGTTAGAGAACTTGCACTGCAATAAATAGTTTATAAGTTGTCGATGTATGGCTACATATTAGTGTGTTGAAAAGTAGTATGAAGTATATGTCTTATTCATGCAATAGAGCCAACATTTAATTCAGTTTTGTTTGAATAACGCAACCCAATTGACCACTTAACTATAATACACGTTTTTAAAAATGATGTTAATTGTAATGTGATCCCCAAGTGTTGCAATTGGGTTGAGTAATAAATAGAAGTGGGCAAATGGTTAGTCAGTTCATTCTAATTAGCTAAATTCAAATATTTTTCAACAAGATTATGTTTCAAAAGTCAAAACCAATTGAGTTTTAAAAATAACCAACAAAATGAAAGTGTGGTTGTTGCAAATGCAACTTGGTGGTGATACGATCAGTGACAACCGAACACGACTCCATCGGTTTGATCAAGTACCTCACGTAACCCGCCGATTCACTTGTCTGATTATTATTTGGCATTTTCAATTAATTTGAGCCTGATTAATAATAAAGTATTACAAAACACAACGTATATGATAGTCTATTTTTTTTTTTTTCTTTGTATATAGTCTAATTGCAAAGAAAAGTATTCTTCTTTCTCTCTGTAATTATAATGTCATATGTTTTTAGACCCGTTTCAAAAATAAAAACATGTCAGGAAGCACAAAAGATAAATTGAAAAGAAAAAAAAATATGGTCATGTGACGTTGATCAATCGATAAAGAGTACTTTTAAATTTACTAATAAAAGTCTTGATTTATGCATTTTACGAATTATATTTTTAATCGACACAAAAATACATGGATTAACAAAACTAGAAACACATGGAAATTTAGATAAGCATACCCATTTTTATTTTGTTTGAATACTCACACAAACAATTGCCGATTTCTAACTGATTTGGGAGAACTTGAAGAAGATAAAATAACGGGAGAACAACACATGATATAACGAGATTCCTTCTGTGATTTAGAGCACCTCCAATGGGGAGCTCTCACCATGAGACTCTCTCCAATTGTTTAATATAAATTTTAGAAATTTGTTAGATGAGAGCTTGTGTTTTTTTTTAAAAAATTTTCATGTAGTCCAATGGTAGTATTTCAAGTGGGGTTCTTAGGATTTTTTTTTTAAAATTATAACATTTCATAAAACTTAATAATTATTGCAATTCATATATAAAATATTAAAAAATGATCAAATCTTTCTTCCATTATATCGTCGAAGGTATTACGGAAAGAAGATGTTATTTTGTGTGATATCGTGTTGTATCAAAATAAAGAAGTCAAATTTTTTTAAAAACAAGTGTGTTGAGAGATTGTAGAAAAAAAGAACAAGATGAAGTATATGGATTGGTGATGGTGTTTTTTTTTGTCTAAGAATAAGAACAATTTTGAGTTTTGGTGATCCATATATTTGAAGATGTATGGTGAGAGAACAAGTTATATTGTTGGTGAAAGATTGTCTTATATATAGCAATAACAAGTGGCATACACAACCATTTATTTCTGGTTCACAAACATTCCAAAAGTACTTGTGGTCTCGGTACGGCGATCAAATTACAATGCTTAATCCCTTCCTATGTTTCTATACAAACATCGTCCTGCAATTGTATCAACAATATGATAACTATTACAACACATTTTCCTACAAATTAAGACAAACATCCTTTTTTTTTTTTTTTTTTTTTGTAAGACAAACATCCTTAGTTTTATAACCACTCAACTTCTGTTCCTAAAAAAACGTCACATGAAGTAGTGGTAGGAGAAAAAGCCCTTACCTCTTCATGGACCCATACCATATTGGTCAAGAACTTCTTGTGACTCTCAGAGACTGCCTTTATCAAATCTATCAAAGAATAGAAAACAAACAAGTTTCAAAAACAACGTTGGCTTTCAAATACTTCTTGTTAATTATCAAACTTGACCCATGATTCAATCAGTCAACAAAAGTCTGACCTTTAGTCTTAGAGAGAGTCTTGTAAGTCATCAGCCAATAAAGGATAGACACGTATGCGTCTCTCTGGTTCCCAAAACTTTGTCTACAGAGCCGGTTCTTTCGATAATTATATGTGTCTATAACCGTAAAATACCACCAGATCTGAACTGTTACAATATACAAAATTTTCTAAAAAGAACAAGAAGAAGAAACCAACTTACGTAAGGCTGGATATAGCAAGAAGAAATAGACGTAAGAGAATCATATTCGATTTTTATCGTTTATGGCTTGGTGTCTTTTAAGGCTTTAAATTAGATGGTCTATGTAACTTTGTAAAAACAGAAAAGAAGAAGTAACTTTTCCTCTTTTGTAAGGGCATGGATCAAAGATATTTAAATGTAAATATAAATTTGTTTTTTTTCTCATAGATTATTAATCAAGTAACATAAATGAAAAATACATGTATTTAGTATTTACTTTTAATCAATATGACTATAAATATTACAAAAAAAGAAAATAAAACACGCGTCGAGATAATTATATAAAAACAACATTATTCAAAGAATATTAGTGGTTCTATACAACTTTTATCAAATATCTATATAAAAAACTCACGCGTCGCGTGGTTCAAAAACCTGGTAACTACTGTAATCTGTAAATCTTTGAACAAACAGATACGTGTTTATATAATTTTAATAGATTTTACAATTAAAGAAATACCATATAATAGGACTGACATTAATAAAAGATTAATTATTTCAAACTTATAACAAAAATGTTGAACTTCACAAAGATATGAAAGAAGAAGATGCAATTATTATATATAGAAATAACTATACAAATATCTAGAATGATCCAAAATATATAATAAAAAAAACACGCGTCGCATGGGTCTAAGTCTAGTAACTACTGTAAATCTTTGAACAAACAACATACATAAAGGTTGACAAAAAAAATCACATAAGAGTTTTTCTTTTCCTATTTTAAATTTTACAATTAAAGGTATACCGTATAATAGGATTACCATTAATAAAAGATTAAGTATTTCAGACTTATAACAAAAATGTTATAATTCAATAAGATATGGAAAAGATGCAATTATGATATATGGAAATAACTATACAAAGATCTAGGACGATCCAGAATATGTTATAGAAATATACTAAATATTGTTAATACAATTAATATTATGGAAATTTATAAGAAAGACCTAGAATGTTCCAAAATATAGTATATAGACCTAAGTCTCCACTATATATATGTATGAAGTTGTAATTAAGTTGTATCCCATCCCATATTCTAAGAAAAACAAAACCCTAAATTTCTTGTTCTCTTGCTCCGCCGTGGTTATCTTTCTCAGTCGTTCACATCGCTCATATTGATACCATGGCCGCCGTAGAAGGACCAATCTTGGCTCTCATCAGCAAACGTCTCCGTACTCTCCGCAAGAAATACAACCGTATTACTGACATGGAAGAGTCGATTTCTCAGGGGAAAGTACTAAACAAGGAACAAGAAGAAACCCTCCGTTCAAAGCCAATCGTCACCGCCCTTATCGATGAGCTCGTAAATCTCCGCATCCCTCCTCCTTCCGTGGCAGAAGAGATCAATCTCCCTGCTAAGGACAAGAAAAAGCCAAAGGTATTCACTTAATTTTCTCTAGGGTTTTAATTAGCCGCATCGTAATAACATAATAAATCTAAACCTAATTTTTTCCTTCCTAGGCACGTAAAGAGGTGGCTGAGGAGGAAAACGTAACGGCCAAGACAGATATCGAGGATTGCAAGATCTCTGATGGTCTCAATTCTGATGAGGTTTCCAAGGACGATACTTCTCCTAGTAGTGAAAGCTCAGAAGGTGTTACGCCATCGCCCCTTAGCAGAAAGGCACGACGTAAACGGAACGCGAAGAAACGTCAGACTCAGCAGTGATTGTGTCTCCAAACTTCTGTGTGTAGCGGAAGTTTTGGCAAAGAAAAAGTAAAAGGAATTGCGTTTGAGTTTTTCCTACTATCTTTGATTCATTTAGATTGACCATGTGGAATTTATTTCTATAAACTTTTTTTATTAATTAACAAAAACTAAACCAATGCAATTTATATTATTCTATATTATTTATGCTTTATCGTTTGCTTTACTTAATTCTCGTAATGCAATATTATCTTGTTTAAGTTCATCTCACACTAAAGATGGATGATTTCTTTGACAAAAGCTCTATAAAACTATACAAGGATGTCCTGAAGCCAGAAAAACTCTTTTTTTGGGGGGACAAAAAGAACAAATGTATAGCACTCTGCTTTTTTAACGTCTAAAAAGAATTAACGTTTTGAATCTGAAAATTTATGTGCCTAATCTACGTGAGCATATACAAATTTCTTCTAATTATTATTTAAAGAGTTAGTGAGATCTCATAAGGGATTCACACATCAGTATCCCTCTTCATAATACATCATCGCGCGTGTTTAATTTTTAAAAATAAAGGATAGTGTTCTTTTCATGAAAACCAGAGAGCTTTTGATATGTATATATCGTTACTGTATATGGTCGCGGGTTAGAATTCTCTTTAACTGGATCTGTGTGTGTGTGTGTGTGTGTGTGTGATGTTTTACAGGCACGGACTGGAGGCAAACTTAGCAAGAAGCCTTAAAGCAATCGACGCGAAACTCAAATCTAACGCATATCCAAATTATGTGGAGTAAAGGAAGATTGAATCACTTCAACATATGTTAGAGCTTTACAAGTCTTACTTTGGCTATGAAAAGTAAAGCAAACACAATTCTTTTGTAGTTCATTTGACTTTGAGGATACATTACCTAATAGATATCAGATTAATGCAAAAGGAATATAGTGAAAACACTCACATTCATCGCATGTGGAACTTGCTTTAAGGTTTCTTACAGAATGACAGAGATCACAAATGCTTGAATGATGTTTAATTCTACAGAATGCAAAAAAAATCTTATCTGAAAAGTTTGAAAAGTCCGTAACGAGGAGAAATTGAAAGAGAATTCAACAAACGCAAATCAAGAATCAAATGAAATTTGAGAAACCAAACGTGATAAAGCCCTAAACTTGATCAGCAAGAAACCTGGATAGGAGAGAGTAGACTTTGAAGTTTTAACAGAAATTCATAATCTTACTATACTCTTGTTATATAGAGAGATTTTGACGACCATCCTCCTTACACTGTCTCACTGATTCTTTTCCTTCGAGAGGCTTTTCACTAAATGCATGTGCAACTATTAGTGCAGTACTTAGGCATGCCAATTGGGCTAGTCCGGCCCGGCTAGAAGCCTCCAAACCATACATATATTTGAGCCCGATCTGGCATGTCCCGTAAAAATTTCGAGCTTATATTTTAAAGCTCGGCCCTAATAGGACTACATGGCATTTTTTTAGAAATAAAAATAAACTTATAATTTACAATATATCTTGAAAAAAATATATATATGTTCAATCAAATTTAAATAAAGACTAAAGCCAATTTAGTTTAAAAGAAAAAGTTTAAAATCAAATAAATAATTAAACTAAATTGTTTGAAATCATACTAAATAAAATATACAATCAGAAGATTTCAAACTAGGTAGTAGAGCAAGGAATCGGATTACCGGTTTACATGATGAAAATGGGATATGGTCTGTAGAGGATAAAGATATTCAAAACATAGCGGTCTCTTATTTTAAAAATTTGTTTACTACATCTAATCATCCGCATGCTTTTGAGGAGTCCCTAGCAGAGGTGAAAACATTGATCACGGATCAGATAAATGATTTTTTGACGGCTCCCGCGACGGAACGTGAGGTCCGAGCGGCATTATTTATGATGCATCCGGAAAAAGCGCCAGGACCTGATGGGATGACAGCCTTGTTTTTTCAGAAAGCCTGGATTACTATTAAATCGGACTTGTTGATCCTCGTAAACTCTTTTTTACGAGATGGAGTTTTTGATAAACGGTTAAATACGACTAATATATGTCTTATTCCAAAAACGGAGCGACCAACCCGGATGACGGAATTACGGCCCATTAGTCTTTGCAATGTTGGTTATAAAGTTATTTCAAAAATCCTTTGTCAAAGACTTAAGACGGTACTACCAAAACTTATTTCGGAAACCCAATCGGCTTTTGTAGAAGGACGACTAATCTCGGATAATATTCTTATAGCTCAGGAGATGTTTCATGGTCTGAGAACTAACCAGTCCTGTAAAGGAAAATTTATGGCTATTAAAACAGATATGAGTAAGGCTTACGATCGGGTTGAATGGAAGTTTATCGAAGAATTATTGAGGAAGATGGGATTCTGCGAAAAGTGGATTTCGTGGATGATGTGGTGTATCACAACAGTCCAATATAGAGTTCTTCTTAATGGACAACCCCGAGGACTAATTATTCCGGAAAGGGGATTAAGACAAGGAGATCCTTTATCTCCTTACTTATTTATTTTATGTACGGAAGTGCTTATTGCGAATATAAGGAAAGCGGAACAACAAAAATTAATTACTGGTATTAGAGTATCCACAGCTAGTCCTTCGGTATCTCATCTCTTATTTGCTGATGATAGTTTGTTCTTTTGCAAAGCCAATAAAGAACAATGCGGGGTAATTTTGGGGATTCTAAAGCAATATGAAATGGTTTCAGGGCAACAAATTAATTTTTCAAAATCTTCGATTCAGTTTGGCTATAAGGTGGATGATTCTATTAAGGCAGAAATAAAAGCAGTTCTAGGAATTCAAAACCTCGGGGGTATGGGATCTTATCTTGGTTTACCTGAAAGTCTTGGTGGATCGAAGACCAAGATCTTTTCTTTTGTCAGAGATAGACTTCAGTCTAGAATAAATGGTTGGTCAGCCAAATTTTTATCAAAAGGTGCATGGGAAAGAAGTAATGATTAAATCGGTAGCTGCGGCACTACCAACATATGTTATGTCTTGCTTTAGGTTACCAAAAACAATTACTTCTAAACTTACAAGTGCGGTTGCTAAGTTTTGGTGGAGTTCTAACGGCGAGTCGAGAGGAATGCACTGGATGGCTTGGAATAAGCTATGTAGTAGTAAATCAGAAGGAGGTGTAGGATTTCGGAATGTAGATGATTTTAATACGGCATTACTAGCAAAACAATTATGGCGTTTGATTACGGTTCCTGATTCACTTTTTGCAAGGGTTTTTAAAGGACGGTATTTTTGAAAATCCAATCCATTGGATAATATAAAATCATACTCTCCTTCTTATGGTTGGAGAAGTATATTGTCAGCTAGATCTCTGGTTATTAAAGGACTTATTAAAAGAGTGGGTTCTGGGGCATCCATCTCAGTTTGGGAGGATCCATGGATACCAGCTCAATTCCCGAGACCAGCAAAAAGTAATGGTTCATTTATTGACCCATCTTTAAAAGTTAATAGCCTTGTCGACAGCCGGTCAAATTTTTGGAACATGGATCTCTTAAGGGAGCTCTTTGATCCAGAAGATGTCGCGTTGATTAGTGCCTTGCCTTTGGGTGCGTCAACTAAAGAGGATACCCTTGGTTGGCATTACACTAAATCTGGAAAATATACAGTTAAATCTGGTTACCATACGGCTCGGATAGAGGATTTGGATGCTAGTTCAAAATTTTTTGGCCCGGATATAAAACCTTTAAAAGCATATGCTTGGAAGGTGCAGTGTCCACCTAAGGTACGACATTTTCTGTGGCAAATTTTATCAGGTTGTGTACCGGTTACAGAGAATTTGCGAAAGAGAGGTATAAATTGTGATACCGGATGTGTTAAATGTGGCGCCATAGAGGAAACAATTAACCATACACTTTTTGAATGCCATCCAGCGAGACAAATTTGGGCTCTTTCTCAAATTCCTTCGGTCCCGGGAATTTTTCCTACGGCTTCTATTTACGAGAACTTGGATCACTTATTTTGGAGAATACCTTCAGAGGTAGATTCATCTTCTTATCCATGGATAATCTGGTACATTTGGAAAGCAAGGAATGAAAAATTCTTTGACAATGTGGATAAAGATCCATTAGAGATCTTACGCTTTGCGGAGAAAGAGGCGCAATCGTGGCAGTTAGCTCAAATTGAGCTTCATACTGATAACCATGATTTTTTCGATAATGAAAATCGAAATCGAGTGAGGGAAACCTCACTGGATTCTAACTATTCAGGATATCGTTGTTTCATAGATGGATCATGGAAAGGAACCGATACTTTTTTCAGGAACAGGATGGTATTGTACATTATCAAATGGAGAGATGCCAACCATGGGAGCTGCCAACATCCGTAGAAGTCTATCTCCTCTACATACAGAAGTCGAAGCTCTTCTTTGGGCGATGAAGTGTATGATTGGTGCTGACAACCAAGATGTAGCTTTCTTTACAGACTGTTCAGATTTGGTGAAGATGGTGTCTTCTCCTACCGAATGGCCGGCTTTTTCAGTGTACCTGGAGAACTTTCAGAGTGACAGGGAAGAATTTTCAAGTTTTTCTTTATCTTTAATTCCTCGTAGCGCAAATGTAAAAGCGGATAAATTGGCTCGACAAGTTCGTACCGAACCGCTTCACATCACTTATGTAAACAACATTCCGCAGGAATGGCTCTTTTGAGCGTTTAATTTAAGCTGTTGACAAAAAAAAAAAACTAGGTAGTAGAGCCATATTTTCTTTTTAGATTTAAAGTAAGGAAAAATTAAGAAACTAGATTTAGGGTTTTTAACCCTTTTAAGAAAATCTTTTACCAAATCTTCCATTTAAATGAAAATATTGACAAAAGAAAAAAAAAATTAAGGACTTTTCAGGGGCCGGCCTGAACCTGGCCGGACTCAATCCTAAAAACTCTTTAACCCAAAAGGCCCGATTTTTTTTCTGAACTTATATCTTTAAATCCGAACCCACCGTTTTCAGGGATGTACTGGGCAAGCCCACGGACTTTGACCCTAATTGACATGGCTATGTGCAGTGTTATGCTAATCTCCCTTCTCTATTTATACCAATCGTTTTTTTTTCTTTGTTCACCGAACCAATAGTTAAACCCTAATTTTTATGTGCTGTCCTGTCGCTTTCTTCCTCAGGTTTATACGAGAAATCACAAAGATAAACCAACGATAAGATGTTTACTGATCTTCCACTTGATTTAGAATCGGAAATCCTCTCTAGGGTTCCGGCCACTTCTCTACAAAAATTGCAAACGACTTGCAAACGTTGGTACGCTTTATTCAGAGATCCAAAATTCGTCAAGAAAAACTTTGGTAAAGCAGCAACGCAGGTGATCTTACAAAATGGTAATGGTTATTCAGTGACAATAATGGATACTCTAATTCATAGCGTCAATCTCCATGGAATCCAAAACAGCTTTGATCCATCCATTGAGGTCGCATGTAAACTTAACAGCTGGCAAAAAGATACAATACAACTGTTTGAAATCTTAATTCACTGCGAGGGTTTATTATTGTGTGCCACCAATGACGAGGAGAGACTTGTGTTTTGGAACCCTTGTACTGGTCAAACCAAGTGGATTCATTGTAATATTCATAGGTGCTATGGGTATGCTCTAGGATACGAAACTAACAACAAATCTTTCGATAGCTACAAACTCTTGATTTTTGACAATTTTCGTGTGTTTTCTCCTCCCAATTTTTTCATCTATGAGTTAAACTCTTATTCATGGTGGAGTCTTGAGGACGTCTCTCCTAATTTTTTCATTGACACTAATGGTGTGACTTTGAAGGGAAATGCTTACTGGTTTGCTTCAGATAAAGAAGACCGCCTCGATAAATTCATACTTAAGTTTGATTTCACTACTGAGAGATTTGGACGTCTGCCTCTGCCTCTTTCTTTTAAGAGTGATTATGTTGATGTGGTTCTCTCAGTTGTTAGAGAAGAGAAACTTGCATTGTTACAACGGTGGTTTGATTTAGATTCATTAAAGATGAATACAGTAAAACCTCTATAAATTAATACTCTATAAACTAATAACCTCTTTAAATTAATAAATTCTTCCGGTCCCGAGTTGGGACCAGTGTAAAATATGACATAAATCGATCAATTAATAAGATAATAATTTTTTTAAAAATCCTATGTAAACATATGGTCTCATCTATATCATAAATTAATAATTGTACAAACTTATCAATATATATATATATGTGTGTATATTTAACTTAATATATATATATATATATATATGATATAAATTTATATATGTCATATATGAATTACTATGATATATATTTAAAATGTTATATGTAAACATTTTAATGAAATATAAATCTATTATTCGAAAAAAGTTTGTGTTATTTTTTAAACTTAATAATTGATTCTATACTTGTAAATAGTTTTTAAAAGATATTGTTTATAAAGAAAATTTTTAATTTTAGATAGAAATTTCTTAAGAAATTACCAAATTATAAAAATTTCTCTATAAATTAATAATTATTAATTTATCAATAAATTAATACCTCTCTAAATTAATAAAATTTCTTGGTCCCAACATTATTAATTTATAGAGGTTTTACTGTATATGGGTGACCAAAACTAAGATCGATGAGGGCAAAGACTTGTCCTGGATCAACATCTTAGTAGTGGATTTTGGTAAATTTGTGTTACCAATGACCCATAATATGACTTTCTTGGTGGACGAGAAAAATAAAATGGTCGTGTGTTGTGATAGAGATATTGATAATAACTGGGGGACAAAATTTTACTTTGCTAAAGAGGGTATACAAGTTCATCAAGAGATTGCACAAGAAACAAAGGATGGTTGGCCTTGGCCATTTCTCTTTAGTTATGTTCCAAGTTTGGTTCAAATTCATTGAGGTAAATCCTGCAGGCAAAGGAAAAATAAAGGTGATTAATTAATTTAGTTACCTTAGTATTATAAACTAGGTCTGTTAATTTAATAAACAGAGTAGCTGATTTTTCTTTCCTTTCAATTTTTTATTATAATCATCATTCACTTTTCAATTTACCATTTGGTGATGTTACTCAAATACATTGTTGTTAAAGATCTATCCGCTTAGTGAGCTATTTTTATCCTCGGCAAATATTTTCATATATACAGTATGCGTATGCATTTGAAGACCGAAAACAAAAGAGTAGAAAGCTAAGAAGGTTGGTGAAAATATTATCACATAGCAACTTGTAAAGCTAGCTCCTATGTTCCAAATCGCTTTATTGAAGTCTTGCAGAGCATATCTCAACGCCTAGAAATAGTAATTTTATTTTCAACACAAACATCTAGCTATATATCTGTAACCATATATGTTCATGTTGTTTCATAAATTACATAGACTTTTTTGTTCCATGAAATTAAAAATATGGAATTATGTGTGACCAAAAAGGTTTTCGACGAACTATTGACATGATTTATCTTACATATATAATTAACATCGAGTAACCCTTTAAGATGAGAATCCCGGAGAACTAATAAGAGAAATTGATAGAGAATTCAACAAACGCAAATCAAAGAATCAAATGAAATTTGAGAAACCAAACGCGAAAAAGCCCTAAACTTGATCAGTAAGAAACCTGGATATGAGAGAGTAGACTTTGAAGTGAAACTCATAATTTTTGGAGACCATCCTCCTTACAGTGCAAGTATGCAACTATGAGTGCAGTCTTATGCTAATTGACTATTATACCCTCTCTATATATATACCAAAGTTTAACCCTAAATTTCAATTTGCAGTGTTGTCGCTTTCTTCCTAGGGAGGTCAGACGAGAAATCATAAGATATACAAACAACGATGGTTGCTGATCTTCCACATGATTTAGAATGGGAAATACTCTCTAGGGTTCCAGCCACATCTCTAAAAGAATTGCAAACTACTTGCAAACGATGGTACGCTTTATTTAGAGATCCAAGATTCGTCAAGAATAACTTGAGTAAAGCAGCAACGCATGTGATCTTTGATAATCGTAGTGGTTATTCAGTGACAGAGATAAATACTCTGATTCATAGCATCAATCTCTGTGGAATCCAAAACAGCTTTGATCCATTGCTTGGGGTCCAAGGTAAACTTAACAGGCTAAAGGATTCAGAACAGGATAAGATATCTGATATTATTTCTCACTGCGATGGTTTATTATTGTGCGATACCTATGAGTGTGGAAGACTCGTGGTTTGGAATCCTTGTACTGGTCAAACCAGGTTGATCCAAGCCAATATTTTAGTGATCTCGAACAGGTATGTTCTAGGATACGTAAACAACAAGAAATCTTGCAATAGCTACAAAATCTTGACTTTTAACAGTCTTCAATGCTTAGTAGACAGTTCTCGTGCTAAGTTTGAAATCTATGAGTTTGACTCCGATTCATGGAGAGTTCTTGATGACATCCATCCTGATTGCTGCCCAATATCCCAAGGCGTGACTTTGAAGGGAAATGCTTATTGGTTTGCTTCAGATAATGAAAGCAAATTCATACTCAAGTTTGATTTCACAAGAGAGAGACCTGGACGTCTATGTATTCCTTTTCAGAAAAATTACGATGATCAGATTGTGGTTCTATCAGTTGTTAGAGAAGAGAAACTTGCCTTGTTACAACAGTGGTTTGATACAGATTCGTCAAAGATGAATATATGGGTGACCAAAACGAAGATCGATGATGACGATAAAGACTTGTCTTGGTGCAACTTCTTGGTAGTGGATTTTGGTAAAGTTATACTAACAAGTGATGCGTTGAGTTACATGAGTTTTTTTATTGATGAGGAGGATAAAATGGTCGTGTGCTCTGATACAAGGATTGGCACTAAAACGAGGACCAGCATTTACTTTGCTAAAGAGGGTTTACAAGTTCATCAAGAGATTGCACAAAAACCAAACAAATGTTGGCCATTTCTTGTCAGTTATGTTCCAAGTTTGGTTCAAATTCAGTGACGTAATAAACAGAGTAGCTGAATTTTCATTGCCTTTTATTTTTAAGTATCATCCTTTACTTTTAAAATTACATTTTGGTGTTCTTACTCAAATATGTTGTTTATGACTGCTTAATGAGCTATCTATGCTAGTCAACTTTCATTAATACAGTATGTGTAAGCATATGAATACCGAAAACAAAAAGAGTCGAAAGCAAAAGAGTATAAGAAGGAAGGTGAAAATACGATCTCATTGGAACAGATCACTCTAGCAATATGTAATTTTCTGATTCTATTTCTTCTAATCAATCAAGTTGTGTATTTTACATAGCCATGCTCATCTAAAGATACAATCTTTAGTTTGAAGATTCTTTTACAGGAAGTAGAATTTGAGAGATTTACAATGACAGAACCAACATGTACTTACTACAAGATGGGAAGGACCAACATAACTAAAACCGCGGCTGCGACTCTGGTCAACACTCTGAAAGATCGAGGCTGCAACCTCGGTGAATTTCCTGTATCAATCATCACAGGGAACTCACAAAGTTCATCAGATGGATCTTCCTCTATGATCAAACCCAACCCCAAGGAATCGCAGTCCCAGGTTTTCTGATAATACATATTATTAAAGGCATATGAAGCATTGCCTATGGCAGTAAGATGGTTACAGGAGGATCCATACCCGAGTACTGTGCAATCAGATAAGCTACCAGCATAGTCGATATTATCAGGCAAGTCATCGAGGTTATATGCATTAGGGTCAAGAACACACCAAGTTTTTGGCAGATACTTCACATCAAAGGCTTGTCATTGCCTTTACCCGGCAAGTCAAGCTCATATTTCGGTCTCCCATCAAACTCAAAGATCCCCCAATGCCTCTCAAAAGTCCCTGGCGCTATACTAGCCAAGGCTGAAAAGGTAAACATCCATGATCACTCATTTACGTAGGCCATCCGATCTCTCCTACGATGATCTTCATCCCCAAGAAGCTATATCTTTCCATAGCACAAATCAAAGTGTCGAGATTTGCAGCAAACACATTGGTATATACCAAATCTCCATCGCTTAGAGGCTTGTTAGTCCCATCAAAGAATGCAAAATCCAAAGGGAAGTAAGCATTTCCATAGAGACTGAGAAAAGGGTAAATGTTGACCGTGAAAGGCGAATCATGTGAATACAAGAAATTGATTATCTCAATCGTTGCATCCCTAAGCTCAGGCCTAAAGCCTCCAGCTGATGGAACCGGGTTCGCTTCAGGCGAAAAATAGATGTCTGCATTGAAAGGAACAGTGACTTTCACACTTTTCAGATCAGCTTCCTCTAATGCTCGTTGGATGTTGATGAGAGCTGGTAAAGTGAACTCAGCGTAAGTTCCATTATATGTCTGAAGGAAAGGCTCGTTTCCAACAGCCATGTACTTGATCTTGATCTTAGCTTCATATATAACAAATGAAGGAAGTTGGATTTAAGACCAAGCTTCAACATTGTACCTGCGCGCCTTCTCCAAATCCTTGAGCCACCGTGAAGCAACCTCCTTTGATCCTCCCGTCTCTTCTGACACAATCTCCTCTAAAGCCAACATTACATCAGATGGCATTTTCGTCGACGAGCCAGCCACATAAACGGCAGCTCCATCACATAGCAAATCCCAAACTTTCTTGCTCATCTCGCGGATCTTGTGTTGCACGTAAACCTTCTTCGGTTGGTCTCTAGAGAATGCTGTGTAAAAGCCGCCACCCTTTTCTTCAGAGAGCATTCCTCCTTCTCTTGTGTGAGACTCCCAGAAATCACGGTATAGAAAATCTGTGTCTTTGTTTCTGCAACCGAAGAAGAACATGACTGGCGCGACCAAGCTAGACTGAGCTCGTACGGATCTCTCAGCTATGAACCCGCGGAAAGGCGCACATCCGGTTCCAGGTCCCACTAAGATGAGCGGAAGCGATTGTGATGGAGCAGGAAGGGAGCCTTTGTGAAACCAAACCGGTATATTTACCTCTAACCACAATGGAAAATAAAGAAAACACATCAGAAACAAAGAACTGAGCCAGTGATGGTAAAGAACAAACAAAGCTCTAACCTTGTTCAGGTATGAGGCTTGCAAGCCAAGAGGAGCATAGACCTTTTCTAGTTCTCTTATAAGGCGTGATCCATGATACTATGCTTACGGTCAAATGTACTCGAGCGGGGTGGGCCAAAGGAGACGAAGATATTGAAAAAGCTCTTGGTTTTAGTGGTGGGACTAACTGTACTAGCCACTCAAAAGGGATTTGTACGGAAGGAAAATCCTCTAGCACCTACATACGATCTATTTGGTTAAAAGAGTCAATGCGTGTTCAAGACGAATCATGGACCTGTGAGATCTGGTGCTATTTTACCTCAAGAATGCTTCTTCTTTCCTTCTGATTGTAATTGTAGAGATCATCCCTCCCCTCGGGTGAGGCAAAGTATTGAAGTCTCTCCTTCTCATGTTCAGCTGTTGCATAGAAGCTCATAACCTGAACAGAGATGATATATTACAAGGGTTTGCATCAAATACGTGTTTGATAGATAAATTTGAAGTTCAAATGCATTAGGATAGAAAGGGTTCTTACCTCAAAGAAGTATCGTCGGGGTGAAGCGGATGTAACATCCATTGTTAATTCAATAAAAGTCTTAAGTTTGATAGGGAGCCGTGTAATCATTTCTTCATTGACACCACTATTCTCTGTCTCTCTCGGACCAACCTGAAAACAAATTAACTGTCGGGATTTATTTTGAATCCCAAAAGTAGACAATCTGAGATCATTTTATATAAACTGATTGGAGTTACATACTGTGATGAATGATTCTGGGTCTAAATCGCAGCGTTCTATAAACGCATCTATCGTTGAAGGATTTTGGCTTGGAAGAAGCTCAACAACATCGCCTACTTCATATTCGATAGTCTTATAAGAGGAGAAAATCAAAGAGGATAATAAGACATCCCCCTCAAAATTGATTGAAAGTTGACCTTCAACTTAAGTGACAACAAAGTACTTACAGAGGAAACAAGTTGGAACTCAAAGTGGCGGATATCCTTTGTGCTTCCAGCTTTAGTCAAGACTTCATTTCTGGTCTACATGATTGGAATGTTAAGGCAAGCTAAGGGAATAAAATTCATATCATCTATCAAGCAACATCAGCTCCACCAGATTCAAGGTAACAGAGCATTGGTGGCATATAACCAGTGAAGTTGACTAGCATATTAGAAGGAAAACAGGAAATTTTTGTTGGGCAACAAGATGTGCATACCATCTTGAGAAAGCAGTCTGGTTTAGTTTTGTCCTTGAATAATTTTCCAGGAGACATTCCACAGGCTCTTTGTATGATGTCTGCCAAAACATAAGAGGCATATTATGCAAAGATAAATTCCCAAAAAACAGGTAAAAAGATAAATTAAGTTCACGAGCCAATTGATTTGAAACAGAACATTTATGAAACTACTTCCAGTAGATTCATTCAGATTGAGTTTTAGATTGACATCTCTAGCAATTACCATTAGCAAGTAGACAGTTCACTATTAAGTAACATAACATAGTCATAACAATAATTTTGGCACACCTGACTCTGCCAATAATTTCGGATCCAAATTCTCCCGCTTATGATATAAAATCCTATATTTAGGCTGATCAATTACTTCATCTTTTGAAATCTTCACATCTGGACCTTTAGGAAAGTATTTTTGATTGATCTGATATAATGTACTCCACAAAGACATCATCCACGGATCAAGTGTTCCTTCATACCTGAAAATAAAGAAAACACCAAAACTGAAAACTTAGTATTCTAACACTGGACTTATAGTACTATACCAGCAACAACAAGAATGTGGATACAATATCTTCAACTGATCAAATGGTTCATCTGAGTTCAAAGAATATTATGTTAAAGCAGGATCAACTTTGAGAGGTTCTTTATTTGCCTTAATATATATGGTATCATACCCTGATGGATGTTGATCATCTCCTAAACCTTTTTCAATGATGGTTGTGGCACCAAGATCTGATAATCTTTTGTCTAGCTTCTTTGCTACAAACTAAAGCCACCAGAAAAAAATTTGAATGTTTAAACAATGTGAAACACGAAATATAAATAGGCAGATGAACTTACGTTGTATTTCTGGTAACCAGAATCACCTAGTCCAAACACCGCATAGCGAACTCGTTGCAACCAATAGTTTCCCAGATTTCTTTGAAGAAGAAACCTCCAAAATGCCTTGAATGATTGAAAAAGACAATGAACAAATAATCTTGAAAGATAATAACTGATATACATGATGGTAATAAATTTCACAAGAATTTCAACGAACCTTAAAAGAATCAGGAGAGTCTCCTTGCCCTGTAGTGGAGACAACAAAAACAACAGCCTCCTCATGAAGTAAGGAACTCTGCAAAACAAAAAACACTTGATAAAAATGTTATACAAAAAAAAAAAACACTTTTTAAAACAAAGTAAGAAGCTTTAAAAATCAAATTGATTTTACCGCGTCAAATTCGTCGGTGGAGACGATAGATGCTGAACATCCTCGGCGTTCTGCTTCACGGCCAATACGCTCCGCTGCATCAAGAGCGTTTCCGGTCTGAGAAGCATACAACACAAGCAGCTTCCTCGGCTTCTCTCCCATTGTCGAACAGAGAGAAAACAGATTCTAATCTCCTATTATCTCCTCTGTGCAAGGAAACAAGTCAAAAGATTTAAAAGACTCTAAAAGCAGAGTACACTAACACACAACAAAAATAAACAAGTCTACAGCTTTTCAAAGCTAGCTAAAACGACGGAACAAGGATTAGATTATTTCAATCTGGCCCTTTCTAACCCTTCATTTTTTTATTTTTTTACTTAAGAGAAAGGTTTTGTGTCAACAAAATTTTTATGAGTTAACAACACTAGTATCGAAAGGTTTTGCAACAAAATTCAGTTTTTTTTTCATACTTAAAGAGAAAGGTTTTGTCAACAAAAGAATCACAAGTTGAGCTATATGACATACAACTTCTAAGTTGCAGAATCAATGAAAACAAACCAGTGGCGATCGAAGAAAAAGATAGAATCTGCAGCTTATGAATTCTAAGATACGTTGGAATTCTGCAACTTAGAGTTCTGATAGAATCTTATTCTGACATAAAGGAGAGACACAATGAAGAACATGTGTCTAAAACCTAAAACATACACAAAAGACTTTTCCAGATTTTCCTCAATAGCCAGATAAATCCTTTGACATTGTACAATTCTATCGAACCAAAGACAAAAACATCTCCAAAGAACAACAAAGTTTCAATACGATTCAACAATTTTGACTCGTAATACTCCACGAAAGGATTCAGTAACAAGAAACAAGCAAAACCCAGAAACGTTAGAAGGTAGAATTCACCATAATCGGACAGAAACTTTGATGTTTTTTCAGTCAGAAACCATGAATCGACCCACAAGTTCATAGCTACACAAAATTCAATTTTTCCAGCGACCCACAAGTTTGAATCCAAAATTACCTTTAGAGAACACACGAACACGAATGCACTTCCACCTAGATTTCTTCGAGCTGAAACCATTAAACCTCCCCAATCATATGAATCAATTCAAAATCAGATTCCAGAAAAAAAGAGAATCTATCAATCTATGAGAGAGTAAAAATGAGAAAGATGAAAGATATAGAGAGAGCAATCGAACCCTTTCTTATGGCTTCTCACAATCGAAGAAGAGACCTAAGATCGAAGAATAATAAAATAAACGTCGTCGTTTACAATCAAAGAAGGAAAAGAAAAAAAAGTATAACATGCTATTTGCTTTTAATATAACTAGGATAAAACCCGCGGCTATGCCGCGGGATATTTTTCTTTAGTTCTAATTCAGACTTATCTAATATAACGAGAAGACAAATCACTCTATAATGCGTAATCTTTTCATGAGGTCTAAAAGTTGATAAGCAACACTCATACCAGTCCTAAGCTCAGTTTTAACTAATTTTAAGATCCAAACTCTCGGATTTCTTAAGATTTCACTATCCGCATGTTTTTATAAGCACATTCTAATTGAATACTATCTAACATAAAATGCTATCTTGCAAAAAAAAAAAAATCTAACATCTACTGACACATTGCACAAAAAGCCTTAAAATCTCTAATGTAGGTATATAATCTAATTGGCAAATATTTTATATTACAATAAAACTATATCATTGAGATGACATTTTTAAAATAAAATCATGTATTTTTGTGGAAACCATTGTGAATTGTTATTAAGCTAATTTACTCGTATATATATATATACTCGTATATATATATATATATATAATTTTAAAAAACATATGAAATTTGATAGCAAAATGAATTGATTGACTTTATTTTGAAAGGGTACAGAATCGTAGTAATGAGAGTAAAATACATAAACATTAAAAAGGCTGTATACTCTGTTTCCTCTTTATCTGCTAAAGCCATTAAAGAAACAATAAAAACGCAGCAAAGAAAACTCTCTCCTTTCCTCTTCTCTCTCTATCTCATCTAGAAAAGAAAATTCTCTAAAGAAAGGTTCCTTAAAATCAGCCATGAAAGTAATGAAGAGAGGTAAAGTGCACCCATCTCCTCCTCTTCCACCATCTTCTTCTTCAATTGGAGATGTATGTCTCTCTGTCTTTAAGCTTCTCCCGGGTGCGATTCAGGTTCTGGTCCCGGTTTTCTCGGCTGAAGATCGGGTAGTTCTTGCTTGCTTAATCACCAGGTCACTCAACACCACCACCGTCGTATCAAGCAAGAAGAAGAGAAGTCATAAAGCTCCAATAACACTACGCCGCGTATAACTTTGATGAACTTTATTGGATGACTTGGTTCGTGACGTAAAATTGAATGTTCAAATATGAACACTTACAGCTTGGTTTGCGACTTAATCCACAGTAGATAGAACCAAGTGTAATATATGCTTACATTGTTTAGACCTCAATTGTAGAGATAGGCACATCATGATCCGCGGCCTTAGTTGTTGGTGTAAGTATATTAGCTAAAAGCTTCTGTTTTTTTACTAATCCTGCAAAATTTAGTAATCACCACATCAACGATCTTCTAAGATGCACTTAAATAAGAAGACAACTAATAAATGGCAATAAAAGAAATTGTATCATCCAAGAGCCTCATTCCCACAATAGTTTCGAACACCTTTATTGTATGTCAGTACTTCCAATCACGTATCCTCAAACTACAAATAACAAACATAAGAGAACAGCTTAGAACTAAAGGAAATAGAGGCTACTTTGTATCTCGATCCAATACGCACTAACCCACAAACTCTAAGGGAAAAACCGAGCATTTCTTTGCGATAACAACATTTCTATCAGAAGATGAAACGATTGCATTTGGAGTTATGTGTTGTGTGTTATTGAACCACCAAAAACTTGTCTCAATAAGAACCTGAAAGTTATGCACCACAAACTTATAATTCGTTGCAGTTTGAAAAGATATACGAATAAAAATTTGTCGGCAACACTTTAAAGCTATCCAACTTGAATGTACAGCACAAACATGGAGAAAAACAAACCTGGCCTTTGAAGGGAATTGAAGCAAGATTTCTGTCGATCCTAGATTCTTCTGTGACCCAATAACTTGACCAGTCCAATGCCGTTTTCCGCACTTGTCGCTTCAACATGCGCTGCATTAATAGCACGTTGAGCCTCCTCAACCGCAGTATCAATTCCAAATGACTTGCCGATGACCTGAATCAGAGATAGTATCAAATCGAGTTATATTATTATGTATTTTCTTTACCAAAATATAGATTCTTACAGAGGCTGTTACAGAGCAATCAATACAATAATCGATTGCTCCTTGTCTTCATTATGCTTAGAGGATCACAACAAACTGCAAAAGTGGAGACAGATTGGAGCTTTAATCGAATTGACATGAAAAACAACCTCACCAAAACTAAAACTCAGGATCAATTTCGGAAATTTATGGACTTAGACGAACGGTACCAAATTCAAGAAGATTTAGAGTAGAAAGAGCAAAGAACATATTCGTATTTACCATTCACAACCAGGAATTCGCAAAGTATGTCCGTCTCCGTTTCTGGACATCAGCTCCGGTTAAGTCCCATTTGGGCTCTCGGCAGCCTGAGACGAAGAATCAGAGTACGGCATCTTAATTCTTGATTATCCAATCAAAATCTCTGATCAACGGATCGTGTTACTCATCTTCGTCTTCGTCTTAGTCTTCTTTACTTTGTGAAGAATCGAAATGGAGGAAAAAAATGAAGGTAGTGGGGCGATTGATATGATTGTGTTGCTTTACTAAGCCCACTTCAGAAAGAAAAATAAGCCCAAGACGGTGAAATCCGAAAAATGATGTGGAATGGAGAAGGATTTTTAGTGGACAAAAGTGATGAGCTGTATTATTTGTTATAATTTGATTGGATAATTGTTTTTACTGATGTGTCATGCTGAGAACAGCTGATAAAGCTGATGTGTCAACCCAGGAGAGATCCCTGGTGTTATTATTGTATTGATTTTTATTAAGTTGCAGGCAAAACCTTAAACCCTCTTACATTTTGAAACAGATAAAATATTTTTTTTCTCCACTTAATTTGGAAAAACACCCATTTGAAGTGATTTGCCATGATTATTCGATTCGGTTTAGAAAAAACTATTTACCCTCGGATCCGCCCGACGAGCAGGTTTTTAGATTTTTTTTAAATAAATCTAAATTTAACAAAAATATATACTAAATAATTTTTGTAAGTAAAAACTATATTTAGGAAGTAAACAGAAAAATTTTAGTTAGAAAAAGAGTTATTTATATATTCGTTTTTTGCTTTAATACACTAATTTGCATTTTCATATTTTAAATTTATTATAACAATTATTACAATCATTTATATTATCAATCACCAAAATTTTGTACCAAAAATTCATCATTATTATTATTGTCAAAGGTAAAAAAATTGGTTTCGCAATCTCGTTTAAAATATGATTACACAACTTCTTAAAAAAAATGTTTTACACGCAAACCAACTGTGAAACCATTATCATATTTACATACTAACATAACATACATTAACAAATCTACAATCTACTTCATTACTTAAAATGTGTTTTTACACTCAAACATATTTTACCATGAAAATATGATCTTTACCACCACCGCCTTCAAAATATCTATATGAACACATTAAACTAACATGTGTCTCATTACTTTGACTTTTACATTGTTTCTTTAACCACTAAAATTTTTGACTCAAAAAATATATCACATAGCAATAATTGATGATATATTTTAAAAAAAAACTAAGATAAAAAAACGTATGATCTAACATATTCCTAATTGAAAAGCGTGTGTACGGTTTTAATTATATTAAAATACAAAGAGAGAGTTTTTTCTGTTCTTAGGATGTTCACCTTAGAAAAATATCTTTTTGGATTAAAATCCGTTTAAAATATTCATTAATATTGTGATTACTTACAATTGATAGAAACTTAAGTTAATGAAAAACAAAAACAATAATGTAAAGTGATGACTTTTAAAAATAGTAAATGCATTTGAAATGAAAATAATGAATAATCATCATCTATCTAAATTAACATCTTAACCATCTTTATTTTTTATTTATTTTTGCCTATATCTTAGATAAAAGTAAAATATTTTACTTAGATCCATTTAGGAGATATGGTAGCTGCTAAGCAAGTTTTATTCAAGGTTGACACGACGTCTTAGTCTGACCCGATGGGGAGAAAGATCACCAAAATTTTGCAACACTTCAAAGCCATTAAAGTTGCCAAAGCGGAGCATCAGTGGTCCATTGTGAGTTGAGTATGTCAATAGGCTCTTGACGATGGTGCAACCCATTTCCGTCTTCTGTTCTTTCTGAAAGCATATGTGTTTTTGAAAGCCAAGCGCTTCCACGAAGCATATATGGAGATTGAGAAAGCTCCACATTTCGTTAAGATTAATCATCCCAAGACTGCCGAAATATGTGGGGACAAACCTAAGGTTTTCATAAAGAATTTTAAACAGCAACTCAAAGTAAGGGTTTTAGAAGAAATTGAGATGCTTTTGGGTATGGAGGATCTAAACTCCGAATCCATCTTTCATCTGTGTTTTGTTTCCAACTCATGGGAATGCATGACTGCGATCATTCCCGTTATGGCGGACACACTTGCTCAGTCTGAAAATGTATTTTCATACAACTTAGCTTAATAGCTTATATAATGAGGTTAAACATAAACACATCTAATTTTCTTTTTCTTTCTGTGCAACATATTTTTGCAGGGTTTGCTGTCCATGTTGCAGTAAGCAATGGATTGTGTCCACTTGAATACTGATTTTGTATCTAGAGATGATCTCATCAAGACACTGCAAAATCTATCTTTTGGAAAGATGCATAGCTTTTTTTCTACATAACCTTACCTTTCTTTTCTTTTGTAGCTCTTTAACAAGAAATTTTGTATGTCTAGATGAGAGCACTTCTAACCCTGAAGCTTGCTAAGACAAAGCAAGAACATAGCACTTCTTTACCTAAATTATCGAATTGATACGATGTAAAATATTCTAAAAGCGGATTTGTATATATTTCAGTTGATATTGTTTATAAGATAGTGTGAAATCTCTATTAGAAATTTTAAATTAAAAAATAATTTTATTTCCCTAAATCTGTTCCATATTTATTAATGAAGTTTTGAATTTATCATATATGTAACACCAAATACGTGGAATTAAAATAATAAAAAATATAATATGTTTAATTACAATGTTTATATTAATGATTGAGAACTATTTTATGCATATCATTTATGGTTGAAAGAACATAATTGATATTTGTTACTTAAACAGAAAATTCTACTAATCCCATAATATATGGAACTAGATTAGGACTCTTCCGATGGACGGGTTATTTATTTTAAAAATAAGCATTTATTGTACGAAAATAGTATCCAAAAGTTTTTTCTTAAAAGATAGAGAGGAGTTTTTGGTTAGTAAATAGGGTTATTTACTTTTTTTTGTTTGTATAAGCTAATTTACATTAGTAATGTTAAATTGTCAACAGTTTTATGAATTATTCACCATTCTCAATAATATGCCAAACTTGACATGTATAACGATCACGTAAGTTAGCAACTTTGAGAACCCAACTTTATATAATAAGATCATGTAATTTAGCAACTTTGATTATTTGGTAGCTGTGGGTTTTTTTTTCCGGTTTTTAAATTGCTGAATATTAGCATTAAACCAAAACTAGAGAAGTGTCCGGATCACGGGGTAACCAGTCGGACCGAGTGGTTCGGATCGCACGTAAAAACACTGAAATTATCGATCACTAAAACTTTTGCCAACTATTCATCATTATTATTATTGGCAAGTCTCAAAAAGTGGTTTTGCAATCCGCTTAGAATATGATTACACATCTTCTTCCAAAAATGTTTACACACAAACTACTCGTCAAACTATTATCTTATTTACATTTATTTTACAAATTTACAATCTACTTTATTACTTAAAATGTGTTTTTACACCCCAACCATATTTTATCATGAAAGTATGATCTTTACCTCCACCACCTACAAAAAATGTCTCTATGAACAAATTAAGCTAACTATATGTCTGGTTACTTTCACTTTGCATAATTTATTTAATCACTAAAATTTCTTCAATTGTTATTTATTTTGCCTATATTCTAAGATAAAATTTTCATGATATTTAAAAGATGGTAATAAATCACTTCAAACTTATTTTTGATGATATTTTTTTAAAATAGTAAATGCATAAGTTACTACGTTAAAAGTGTTTAACCAATCTTCTAAATCACTTCATTTCATTCACACAATTGTTGTTATATGGCTAATTCTGTCACACAATTGACATAAGTTTTATGAGTCTGGGCCGGGAAGGCCAAAACATGGGCCGGATCAAGTGATATTGGAAATTAAACAGATACGACGTAGTTTTGATATCATCGTCTCCAAAATCTCTCTCCCCTTGAAATGTGAATTTTAAAATCAGCGGAAGTTCCGGTAAAGTTCGATGGCGCTTAATTCTCGCAAATGTTGGATCTTCCTTCTTCGCTTCAGCAACTGCTAACCAATCCTCCTTCTCCTTTCTTCCGTTTTCTTCTCTTTTCTTCGATCCTCTCTTTTTTTTTTTCCTCCTCTCTCAGATTCGATTCTCCGACCTTCCTCAGTTCAAAATGTTCAACGTGAAGGTAACTTAATCTTCCTCCGATCGTTTTGGAATTTCAAATTTTATCCATTGCACATATAAAATTCTCGAAAAATCTGGTGATCGTGGTTTTTGTTTCTTCTCATTGTTCTGTTCCTGGTTTCTGGAAAATTGCGAACGATTTATGGACAATTTGTTTCGTTATCGGAGTTGGAAATCTGGCGTTGATTTCAAATTTATGTCTATATGATCTTTCTAAGTGGTGGAATTTGCAACTATATGATATGATCATGGATGGTCCATAGATTTTTTATATGAAATTCGGTTGTTTTGTTTAGGTTTTGGTTTTGGTTTTAACGTGACAAAATTTATGTAGCGATTCTGGTGATTGATACTTATAAAAAAATGAACACATTTGATTTTTCCAGGTCCTACACGTGAAGTTTTGAGCTGGCTGTTTTAGCTTTTGTGCTGTTGGCCATAATTGATGCAGCTTATTTAGAAAACATAGTAAGTGCTTTTTTTTTTTTTCTATGTCTAATGACTGATTCTGATGAATAATATTTTTCCTTCAATGTTTCAGGTGCAAATATATTATTTTGATTCTTGATTGTTTGGCTTACTTGGTGGATGTTGTGTATGTTTTTGTCGCGTCTTCTCGGATTTGTGACTATCGGGTGATCGTTCTTTCTGTATGTGCCTTGTTTAATGGCAGGTCAGAGTCAGAGATTCATCTCACCAAACTCATAAGCTTTGTTTGAGAGAGGGTTAATTATGTCAGATAGATGGGCTCGACAGAACGCGGAACCTGCAGCTGTTTTGGCTGAGAGAAGAAATGTGAATAAAAATGTTTCACTTCAGACTGGTGAAGAGTTTTCAATGGAGTTTCTTAAGGATCATACTCCTGTTCAATCTCCTATCGTTTCAGGGAAGACTCATAATGATGTGCATAGATTTGGGGATCTTTACTATCAGAATCAAACACCGGGGTATGACAGTGCTGCTCGGTTTCATGAACTGAGGAGGATAGAATCTGAATGCCCTTCTGATGCATATGATTTTGGACGAGATCCGAGGAGTTCTATACGAGTTGAGAATGGTGGTTATATGCCTCATTTTAATGCTTACCACAATGTAGGTGGTGAGAAAGAAGTTATAACTAGGAAAGCTTTTGGTGAAATAAATTCTAATCGAGGAGATGTCACGGGGAGGTCTGCGCCTTGTGTGTTCTTACCAGAGCGTGTTCAGTCCAACAACTATACCGGAGGAGGAGGAGATTTCGATAGATTAGGAAAAGTAAAGTTTCTTTGCAGCTTTGGTGGGAGAATTATGCCAAGATCCACTGATGAAAAACTAAAATATGTAGGTGGAGAGACGCATATTATTTCGATTCGCAAGAACCTTTCATGGGAAGAACTCAAGAAGAAGACCTCAGCTATATGCCAACAGTTGCATTCAATCAAGTATCAGCTTCCAGGGGATGAGCTTGACTCACTAATATCGGTATCTTCGGATGAGGATCTTCAGAATATGATTGAAGAGTACAATGGACTAGAAAGGCTCGAAGGTTCACAAAGGCCGCGATTGTTCCTTATTCCTATAGGGGAGCCTGAAAAAAAGGTTCAGCAGAACATTCCTGATTGCCAATATGCTGCAGCTTTAAATTGTAATGCTGATCCTAATCCTAGGAACATTGCTGGTGGTCAGGCTTTGGTTGGTGATACACGTTATCATGTAAACAATTTGGATCGAAATCCGAGTTCCTGTAAACGAACACCGGGTCAGATGCTCCGACTAGACACTACTGCTATGCGTCCGAATCCACTTTTCAATGGAGTTCAATATAACATGTCTTCATATCCATCACCTCCTGTTTCTCCTTCACCATTCCAGCATAGGGATTCAAATGGTGCATACTCACAGTTCCATGGAAACAACTCCAGCTCCGAGAGCAATAATTCCTTCACTCCAGCTCAACAAGACACGTCTATCTTCGAGGTGATTGATTCCAAATATCATCAACAGCGACCACTACCTTCAGTAAACTATCAGTCTAACAAGCAGGAGGCAGCTGAGAACCTATATGGTATTCAGTTCCAAAGTGGCTTCAATGAAAAACTTGTGACTCCCAATCCTGGTCATGTTGATAATCTTTGCTTTAACCCTGAGAGGTCTGCGAATAGCGGAAGGGTCTACTACGATAAAGTGAGTATGCCCGAGGAATCTAAGGTCTCCTTTTCTGGGTCTACAAATTCAAATGACTCTTACTTGGGAATCCCGCACTCGTACTCAGACTCTACATTGGAGCTAAATGGTGGACACTCTAGCTACTTTTCACAAGAGAGACAACAAAGCCCATCTTCAACATTGAACTTTACAAAGAAACAAACACAAGAAAAGCCAGTGCAGGTGCATAGGAATAATGATCTAGCTGACCGTCGTACGCAAAGTGATATACTCGATATGAAGTCCACTGAGGGAGGAGAGACTATGTTTAAATTTTCCCCAAGTCCACGAGGACCAAGACTATCCGGTGAAAACAAGACATTGCATATAGACATCTCTGCTGCAGGCAATCATTATGATGAGATTTATCTAAATCAGGAAACCAAGAATCAAGGAGGGAACAGTGACACCATTTTTCATCTAGGAGGGAAAGTGCTGGGGACGAGAGCAACGCCTACTGACATGGACCCCAAGATATTACCTACATATGGAAACCAAACCTCAGTGGTTGTTGATCCATGGAAGAAGATAAATCAAGATAATGAGCGTTTGATGGCTGGAACCTTATCCGCTAATCTAATTTCTTTGGAGGAAGGCATTGCAGCTAATACCCCAAATGAAGAACCAGAATCTCGTGCTGCCCGGGAAAGAAATATGGAAGTTTCAGGGATCTTTTTAAATAAGAGAGCAGTCTCCGATGAGAATTTCTTGTTCAGCATCGCCTCTGAATCACCAAACAGCAAGATTGTTCATGAGACACAAAAGAATGTGAGTATTGCAAAATGCACAGAACATGATTATTCTCTATCAGCTTCTAACACTAATAATGATTCAACTAACCTGCAGAGGACAGAAAGGGAAGGTGGTTTAGGCCATGTTAGAATCCCAAGCATGGATTTGAATCAGCCAGCGCCATCAACAGCGAGTGAAACTTACAGTTTGAAGACACCAAGAGAAGATTCACCACAAAGCATTCCACACGCAAAGATTAACAGTGGTGATACAATATTCCTTTCTGAGGTAGTGATTTACTTGTTTGCAAGCTTATATTCTATGTTAAGAGAGGATCTTTCTTCTCATTATTGTCACTTGTCGACAGGAAGCTGAAGCTAATATCGGCGAGAAGGAGAACAGTTTCAAAGACACACTCTTTGTTGAAATGGAAGCCAGTGTTTATGGCTTGCAGGTACTTGGGGAAATTTGAGTAATGCTATTCTGAGGCGTTTGTCTCTTTTAGCTTGTATTTGACCAACTCTTCTGTTGCTTCTTCTTTAAAACAAGACTTCATGCAGAACCCAATACTCTTGTTTGACATGCTTTAGAAATTTGAAATTTTACTCACTCTAAACCTTCAGATAATAAAGAACGCTGATCTTGAAGACCTAACAGAACTGGGATCCGGGACATATGGAACTGTCTATCATGGAACATGGCGGGGAACGGATGTTGCTATAAAGAGAATAAGAAACAGCTGTTTTGCGGGGAGATCATCTGAACAAGAACGCTTGGTTAGTCCTCAAATCTCTTGTTTCTTAGATCTATCTTCTTGCTACTGTTTTGGTATGAAGTACACAATATGAGGTCTTCTCCTTCGCAGCACATTCTTTGTTTAAACTGTATTGCTTTATCAGACGAAAGATTTCTGGAGGGAAGCACAAATACTATCAAATCTTCATCACCCAAATGTTGTTGCATTCTACGGTATAGTGCCTGATGGAACTGGAGGAACCTTGGCAACTGTTACAGAGTTCATGGTGAATGGGTCACTCAGGCATGCTCTTCTCAAAAAGGACAGGTACTTTAATTTATTCGCTGCATTTCCCTTTAGTGTTCTGAATCTGAAAGAGACTTAATACGCCAGAATGCCAATGCAGGTTGCTTGACACTCGAAAAAAGATAATAATTGCAATGGATGCTGCTTTTGGCATGGAGTATTTGCACTCGAAGAACATTGTCCACTTTGATCTCAAATGTGAAAACTTACTTGTCAATTTAAGGGATCCACAACGGCCTATATGCAAGGTAGCATATATAATATTGATGAAAATCGCATTTCCGTTGTAGCCTGAGAATCCGCTACTTAAGTATGAAACCTTGATTTCTGCAGGTGGGAGATCTTGGCTTATCTAGAATAAAACGTAACACTTTAGTATCTGGGGGAGTGAGAGGAACACTTCCATGGATGGCCCCAGAACTCTTGAACGGAAGCAGCACCCGGGTTTCTGAGAAAGTAAACTAATCAAACCACTATCCAATTAGTTTCATCAGCTTGACTTTATCTAGAAAACATAACCCATATTTTTCCGGTCTCAACAGGTCGATGTTTTTTCATATGGAATCTCACTGTGGGAGATTCTAACCGGAGAGGAACCTTATGCAGATATGCATTGTGGAGCAATCATTGGTAAGTCAAAAACCATCACTCAAATGTCACTTACCTCAAAACAGAAGCCACTCTTTGCTCATCTATTTCCTCTTTTTAACAATAAGGCGGGATAGTGAAGAACACACTTCGACCTCCCATACCGAAAAGCTGTTCTCCAGAATGGAAAAAGCTGATGGAACAATGCTGGTCTGTAGACCCGGATTCCCGTCCTCCATTCACCGAAATAACATGCCGACTTCGGTCCATGTCAATGGAAATCGTAACTAAAAGCAAAAGAAGAGAAAATAAACCCTGACTTCAAACATCAGAAATCAAGAAAGACGGGTCAGTTCATCAACATTTCCACATATGGTTTCTATCGAAAATCTGCATATTTATTCTCATTCTTCAACTGTTGTACAAAAACATAAATGTAAATCTAAAAATGTCAATGTAAATATTATTGCCAACATAAAAGAATGAGAAACAGATTTTGCATTGTAATTTAGTTTCTACACATCCTTGTACAAGAGTTGATACTTTGGTATCCTCTCCGGCGGTACCGGACATTGCACAATCAGCTTCCCTTTCATCGCTCCTCGATATATTGCCTATACATAACACAATAACAAAAACAGAGGATTTCAATTAGTAACAACCTTATTAAAACTTTTACCAATTGATGAAATTGAATTGTTTTTGTTACCTCAACAACATCAATAAAGTCTTGTTTTATGTGAAATGCACCAACCCATTTAGTATGATCAGCAGTTCTACAATATAACCAAACCGGAATTAACATAAACCATCGTAACCAAACCTAAACCGGCTTTAATCTGCTTCTAGAACAAGAAATTAATTACCCAGAATCCAATTTCATGTGATGCGCATTGAAGAAGAAGATCGTCGAAGGAAACAAAGTAATGTCAAAATACTTCACATACACTTGAACTTCCTCTGAATCAACATCAACCAAAGCTACCTTAGCGAATTTCGAAACATCTCTCACCGATTTCGCAAGCTGAAAAAAAAAAATCGAAAAATTAGGGTTTTTGATTAATCGAAATTAGAGAAATTGATTTTTAAAGAGAAACGAATTCAATACAATTTCGTCATGCTGAAGACAAACGTCGTCAGAGCAACGACCAAATCGTAAAACAAGAACTTCATCAATGGTGTCTCTGATGATCCGATCAATCTCTTCCTTCTTCGTTAACGTCTTCAAAAGATAACTCATCTCGGCGCAAAAATTTGTCCGACGTCGTTTTTGGTAATAATATATTAACTAAAGAGACGCAAACTACACGGGTTTCGAGGTCCATTCGGGTTTGGTTGGAAGGGTTTGGTTTGTAATCGGTTTGGTTTCAGTTTGGGTAAGTGTCGAATTCGGTTGGTGTCGGTTCGATATTTGGAAAGAAAAAACCTAAAAATTATTTAATTTAAACAAAAGCGGTATAATTTTGACCCTTGTTCTAATAAACGCTAGGCGCTAGTCGGGCGGCCGGGGTGGGCCTAGCGCCTAGCGGGATTACTCGGGGATTAAACGGGATTACTCGGGGATTAACTTTAGATACTTTTAATTTAGATTTATGTATATATATTAAAAAAACGTAAGTGTACAATGATTATAACGTGGTACAGTGGTCTGTCTCCTTCCTTTGACCTTGGGAACGAGGGTTCGATGCTCAATTTTGATATTTATCTCTTTTTTTTTTAAGAATCGCAAATTTACAAAATTGCCCCCGTCCCCTTCCTTTCTCCCTGCGATAACAAAACCCTAGTTTCTGCGTTTTTTTGTTTTTTTTTTCACAATTCCATCGTTTTCATGTTTTTCTTGTAGGTTTATACCAAATTATGATAGATCTATTAGTTAACTATCGATTTCTAACTTAAATCAAAGCAAAATATGAATTTTTTTCTGAAACTCCGATTTGTTGGCCGATTTGGACAAATCGCAACGGTCCACCACCGCCGAGCGCCTCGCCGGCGACTAATCGGCCCCCTAGTCCGCGTTTTTGAACAAGGATTTTGACAAATATAACAAAGGATTTCAAGATATTTAAACTCTTTCTATTATTGTTATTTGATATTTTCTGGTATAAAATTACAATTAATATTTTCAAATTTTATATCATAGTTTTGGATATATTTTTTGTATTTTTTGTTATGTATAAATTTATTTAGATGATTCAGATAAAAATAGTTAGAATCCAGGATTTTATGACTATTTGGACTATGAATGGGAAGCCTAAGGGCACACTCAGTAGTACATGTGTGTCTTGGGTGTTAACAGTATTATAATATTATAATAAAGTATTATAATAAAGTAAAGAAAGAGAGAAATAGTGAGAGAGATGATAATTTTTGCCTGTCTCCGACCGAGTTTTTGTCTGTCTCCATTCAGCGCTGGCCACGTGCCACTTACACCCCTTGGAGAAAAGTTGCAAGTTTACACCCGTTGCCTCTCTCCAACCTTGTTTTTCTATTATTTTTGTTTTTTTTATTCCTTACACCCGGGTGAAAAGTGCCCCACTGTGTATGGTCTAAACGCACTATGCGGTACGGTTTAATATTTCATGTTACCATTCTTTTTTTTGACGTCTAGATTTATTATTTATTGCAAATTGCCAAATTATGAGAACTGTTACATAGACAATTCTACAACGGACAATTCCTTCCGACCCTTATTAGATCCACGACAGACGACACTTCCTTCTCCATGCTTTTGACGGACACCTTCAATGATCCATGACCTGACGACACTTCTCTATCTGCATAGAATCCTGGCGAACGGCTATAATTGTACTTCGCTGGAGATCTCCTGCACACTTGCCTCCTTTAATCTGCAAATTTTATTAATAAATCGCAATATCTGGGACTCGAACCCCAGACCTCTTGGTGTAGAAGCATTAATTAACCCTTGGCCAACCAATGGGCCAGGGGGCTTTCACAATTTCATGTTACCATTCAAACAAAATTTTTACACATAACTGTTGTAGAATAATATAATTAAAAATAGAACTAGATCACTTTTGTAAAAAAAACGCAGTGTATGGTTAGTATACATCATTTATGGTGTGTTTCAAATGGTTTTTAAAATCTGGAAAATAAGAGAGTTAATTGTATAAAACAATTCGATTTTAGTTGAAAATTTTTTTTATCCAAAGTATTTAAAAAATAGTTAAAAAATTGATAACTATTATATCTGCACCATATTTGTTATATTTACCATTCAAATATTTATCTTGAACCGCATATTATTTTTTTCACCATTCAAACATTATTTTGTACCGCTTGTTACGCAGTAACCGTATTTATTTTGCATGATGCGTTTCTTTCAATAGCACCGGAGTAAAATCGCACTGCTCCTCTAAAACCGCTTATTCCGCACTGCTCTAACCGTTGCCACCATTCGGAATCTTGGTTCAAATTTTCGGTTTGGTTTTCGGAGTTTGGTTTTATGCCAGACTTTTTGAAGTTTATTTATTGAATTTAAATAATGTGGGAAACTAATATATATATATATATGAAAAGCAAGTGCAATGTTTCTTTGTGATAAACCATAATAATAATAAAAATAAGTGAGAAATCAAAATCATCGATTCTCCTTTGTTTCGCCTAACCCAATTCCTAAATCTCAGCATCTTTCATCAATCCAATCTCTCAAATAGCGAAAGAGAGAAACAATTATCAAACCCAAATCCAATCCTTGGAGACGAACACATACTCCAAAAATTTTCCAATTTGTAATTTTCTCGTCTTTTTGTTTTTACCCAATTTTGTTATACGTTTGATCGAAATATTTTGCTCTGTTGGATCTATTGTATTAACCCTTTTGAGATTTGATAGATATGGTTTTGAGGATTGATATATTTGCCACTGATTGTCGTTGAAAAATTGTGAAATTTGATTTGGGTTTAGGGTTAAATTAAATTTATATGATTGAGGAATATAAGAATCTGAATTTTATGATTAGATTCTCCAGATATGTTGTTACTTGATTTTGGGTTGTTGTTGTTTTTTGAAGTTTTTGGTATTAAAGTTGAAAAGTTTTCTAATTTAAGCCAAAACTGTCTTCTTCATCTATGGTTTTGTATTGAACTGATGATGTAGATTTGTCTAAATCTTGGCTTGTGTTTATTGTAGTGGAAGATTGAATTTTTATTTCTTGTTATTGGTTTTAAGATTCTAGTTTATTATGATTCCTCTAGTTACATGATTACTAACTTGACAGTGTTAATGAATTCTCTTAAATTTTAATTGCTGCTTCTCTTTTTTGGGATTGTTGTGCAGGTTTTAGGACATTTGGGTTACCCTCCGGCTTAACGAATAGTGGTTTAGTTATTTATGCTGAATTTGGTGTCATTCAGATTCTCCGAGGATTATCTGTTTGGTTCGTTGGTGTTTTCATTTGATCTGCATTTTAAAGTTTAAAGTGCGGCGCTGAAATAGTAAGACAGTAGTTTTTCAAAAGGCTGCTAATAAGATTGCTCCGTTTCGGTAAGTTTGTTTTCAGCTAACTATCTCTCTTTGTGAAGTTAACTATTTGTTGCTTCGTGTGATGTGTAAAGATTCTTCCGTCATGCTTAGTTTCTGTGACGTGAGAATTATTGATTTGTTTTTGCTGCTGCATGATTGATTTTGAGATTAAGCAATGGTTTTTGTCTTGCAATTATCCTTTTTTGACAAAAGTGTAGTATTTTTAAACCTCATTCAGTGTTTCTAACTTTCTCGATGCGTGAGTAGCTTACACAGTGCTTAACAAGATGGCTGGTGTAAAGCGAAAATTAAGTACCGAGTCAGATGTTCATGCTCTTCACAAAGAACTGGATGAGGTTTCATGTCCTGTTTGCATGGATCACCCTCATAATGCTGTTCTACTGCTGTGCAGCTCTCATGACAAAGGTTGCAGGTCCTACATCTGTGATACCAGTTACCGACATTCCAATTGCCTCGACCGGTTTAAGAAATTGCATTCTGAATCCCCTAATGACCCTACTCCCGAGGGGAACTTGGCTTCAAGGGAAAATAATAATGAATCTCTAAACGAGCATGGTACAGGCAGTCGAAGCAGTTTTCACCGTGAGTCTGTAAACCGAGGCTCTGCTTGGGATTCCGAATCGCTGAGGAGGAGGAGGAGAGTGGAGGAAGAAGAGCAGTCAGAAGATATCACAAATTTGAAATGTCCTCTTTGCCGGGGTACTGTTTTAGGATGGAAGGTTGTAGAAGAAGTAAGAACGTATCTTGATCTTAAGAACCGAAGTTGCTCCCGAGAATCCTGTTCATTTACTGGAAACTACCAGGATCTCCGCCGCCATGCCAGAAGGACACACCCAACAACTCGTCCTTCAGACACTGATCCATCAAGAGAGAGAGCTTGGAGGCGGCTTGAGAACCAGAGGGAGTATGGAGATATAGTCAGTGCAATCCGTTCTGCCATGCCCGGTGCTGTTGTAGTAGGGGACTATGTTATAGAAAACGGAGATAGGTTCTCAGGTGAGAGGGAAATGGGAAGTGGTGGGAGCGACCTTTTCACCACTTTAGTATTGTTTCAGATGATTGGTTCTCTTGACAATGGAGGTTCTAGCGCTAGTGGCAGTGGTGGTGGTTCAAGATCCCACAGGTCAAGGGCATGGAGGAATCATCGACGTACGTCTTCAGATAGACGATACCTTTGGGGGGAGAATCTATTAGGTCTACAAGAAGAACACAATAACAACGATGATGAAGAGTTGCATATGCAGAACGATACAGGCGGTGCTTCTACTCCTGTTCCTAGAAGAAGACGGAGATTCGGACGTCCTAGATCAAGCGGAAATCATCCGCGATAAACCGAATCATCCGGTAAAATTCAATATGAATCATTGGGTTTTGGTTGTAGAAACCTTTGCGATTACTGAAAAAAACTGGTTTTGTCTTTAGGTGCTATCGATATCTCTCGGGTCAGAACCAGGCCGATGCAAAGGGAAAGGTTTTGCTGAAAACCCGAGAGCCTTAGGATTGTTTGGTGTTTATGTAAATGTCATTTTGAGCCTCGTTAAGTCGCTCATTGTATACTACTAAGTATGGCTTTTGATGCAATGTCTTCTGTTAATTAACTCGTGGATTATTTTCTTTTATCTAGGAAATTGTAGTTGGGTTTCTTTTAACCACGCATATTATCTTATCTATGTAATCATTTTGTTGTAGCCCTTTTTGACAAAGATTTAGTACTTGCTCATACTATTTGCACATGTATTCAACTGGTCTTAAGGAGATTATATCAACGAGTACTATAACACATGAGTCAAAAAAACAAGCCACGATATTAGTCAGATGTCATAATTGTGACTTGGGAGTTGGGACCATCAAACCATAAGACTATGATTGTACTTGAAGCATGTAGGGGTTGAGATGAGGCCACGTTACACGTAAATGACATGCGGGAATGAACCATAACACGTTCGATCTCGTAGAGTTTGGATACACATTGGAGGAATTGAAATCGATATTGAAAGGTAGATTGTGTCCTCCAAAAGCCACACACAATTTCCACAAGATTTTTCACATCCCATGATCTTATTTAGAATGGTAAAGAGTAATAATTCGGATACAAGTTGTTTATATTGGACTATTTAGTTATCATTAACTTTTAATATTTGTTAATTCTGTAATTATCATATTTGTTTAGTACTAATATCTTGTTACTAAAAATGTTCCATGTGACTCTTGCATGTTCTCCTATACCCTTCACAATATATATATTCCAATAACTCTTGATTAAGCAGACAATATCCGGTCATTTTGTGAGTAGCCCATTTTTGTTTTGATTACACATTCTTAAGACGAAATTTCCTTTGTTCATCACTTCTTTCTAATGACCAAAACTTCAATTACAAGAGAAATATAAGAAATCTTTCTCCCTCGTCTCTTTATTATTCATTATCCCGATCCTTCTGCAGGTATCAAAATTTTCTCTATTATTTATGTTTATATTCACTATAAAACAAAACACTTATTTATAACACATATCTTATTGTTATGTTAACTTTTCTTTTTTGCATTTGATTCTTTTTGATATGTTAACTTTTTTAGTTATGTCAACATTGATTGCCAAATCGTGGAGATAAGGAAATTAGGACTTGTATATATACAAATTAACATTTTTCCCTAAGAACCTTGTTAAAAAGACACAAAACAAGTTTTGGTGTGGTGAGTAAACAATATGGAGTTCGTTCTTCCGATGATACTCGTAGTTTCCGTACTGTTAGGCGTTGTGTTTGTCTCACTTATGCTTATTGTTTGGATTTTCTTTGCCCGCAAGCAAGCACGAGAGAACTCCAATTTTTTTGATGTCACACATATATAGTTATTTCGCCATTGAACAACTATGTTATTTTTTTGTCTTGTTCTTTAGATTTAATGGTATTGTAACCCTCTTAAATGTTTTATCATTGTGTTCTGAAATCTATAGATTTGTTTGTTACTTCTAAATCACAGTATCATAAACTCTGAAATCCGCTCGATACACTAATGCGGGAGTCGGCTCCTCACCAGAGCCGGCCCAGAGTATAAATGGGCCGCAAGCCGAAAAGATCGGCTCTGCTCCTCGCATGATCTCTTACATATCAAAACCATCGTGCCACGCCAAGATTTGCTAGTACATGGTAACTGAAATGTATCCCCAAATTAACTTGAGTAACAACAACTAGTATAGCAGAATGACCTTACACATGTACTCATGCTTTAAATGATCCGGAGATTTCTAATTAAAAAAAAAAAAGGGTTAGCTTGAAGGACCCTATGAAATTAAATGACATAACTTACAAGTGTGTGGCTGCGAGTAATGGCAACAAAGCCTTGAAACAAAGTGACATCTACTGAGCTAAAAACCACAACCCAAAGAAACATATGTGTATGTATAAAAACCAACTTTGTTACAATCCCACGTTGTGTTTCCGTATAAACTCCAAAATAGATTGAGTCAAACAAATTATTTAAACACTTATATATCTTCTTTAGTTTCCCAAGTCATCTCTTGTCTTCATCTTCTAATCCAAAGTCTCTAATCATTTGTGTAAGGGAGAATTTTGTTTGACATAAGCGAATAATCACACAAGCTCTATACTATATTATACAAGAAAAAAAGCATCTTCGGCCAGAACATGGAGGTTAGTCATCGTCACATGTGCTCCATATCATTTACATGTGTCCATAACATAAGGACTATATTTATAAGGTTTTAATCTTTGTGGGTTTTGACCAGATCTTTCAATGGCTCTTCAAGTTAGGGAGATCAGAGCCCAGTTCAATCAATTGTACTGATCATGAACCCACCACAACTCTAACAAGTAAGTAACCAAATATTTCTTGATCCTTTAACACTACATATATAGTTTAACTTATCATAAGATATTGTATATCTTACCTTATTATTATTAGAAAAGTTGACATTTGTGTATATCTTCTGGTGAGTTTATGTAGATTTCCTATTTTTGCAATTTTAATAAAACAAGTTTTTGTCTAATCAAATAAGATATGTAGTAACATTTTGTTTTCTGACAGAATCATTTAATAAATGTGATCCAGATTGTACAGATCACAGAACAAGAAGATCATCTACAAGAGGGTCTAAACATAAAAACCAGAGGAGTTATAGAGGAATCTGGTTATGGTGTAGAAAAGACGTAGCCAAGGCTTGTTTCTCTAGCACACTGACTTTAAGAAGACTTAATAGCTTTAGGAGAGGACATTTACTTCGCTCCATGGCAAAGATAAAAGCACAAGGGGGAGAAGAACAAGTGACATCGACAAGGTTTGATCTGAAAAAGGCTATAAAAGTCTTCAAACCGGAGAAACAAGACGAAACCAATAAAGAGAAGTCGAAAAGCGAGCAGAGCAAAGGTAAGGCCACACTTTTAAGAATGAAGGAGCTCATCAAATGGGCTGCAGCAGCCAAATCCGACAAAGCGGTCAAATTCTTTACCCCTAAGGTGTGGTTTTTTTTTCTTAATAGCTCAAAAACCATTAGACAAACTCAAATTTTGCGGTAACCATTGTTCTTATTGTAACATATATATATAATGTTGCAGATAATGATGGAGTTGAGAAACCGAAGAAAGTTGAAGATTGTGAGAGAGGTGAATGAAGAAGAATCAACTAAAAGAATGAGTAGTGTATCTGCAAATATAAGTTTGAGATGGGAGAGTAGTGAGAGTTGCACAACAATCTCTTCCTCTGATCACATCTCTATAGTTTCTTCACCAGCAATCCTTGTTTCCTTGAGTCCTACGTCACTCCACCGATGTAGATCCAGGAAATACAACTGGATCACTACTGATTCTGAATGTAAGACCAATAATATTTTGAATTTTCCTATAATTTTCTTTTTTCACAAGCCAATATTTTTATAATATTTGAATCACCACAGTAATTAATTCCAAAATCTGATCGGCAATAATGAATATATTGTGTATCTTTGCTCATGGCAGCTAGTGCTTATAAAATTTTATGATTGTTGGTAGTGTTTATTTTTCTAATTTATTTTATGTATTTTGGATTTTGTAGTTGTGGTGTTAGAGTTATGAAGAGATGTTATAGGTGTGGTGGATGAAGACAACGACAAGGACAACCAATTGATTCTCATCGCTAGACAATTTTTGAAAGAGTTAATTTGGGTAAAAGTCAAATTCCATTTGTAATTAATTTATAACCATTGTTTTCGGTGATTTCAATTTCCTTTGTATTTTTATGTAATTCATATGATAAAACTTACCAAAATTACTTCTTTTTTTCTACCTATAAAGTTTAACTTGGTATATCGATTTAGATGGTCACTAGAAAAATGAGGTAACATTCCTAAACACTGAAGAATATATATACAAAAAAAGAAAAAAAACACTGGCGAATATTGAAAAAAACTGGTTTGTGGGATGTTTAGGTGTAAGATTCAGTCCAAAACTATAATACTAAATTTAGTTTGACTTTAATACATAGTGGACGGTTAAAATCGTGTTATTGGGTCGTATGGTTTGTGACATACAGTCAGTGTGGCGGAACCAGAAATAAATTTGACAGGGGTCAATAGAAAAAAAAAATTAATAGAAAACGTGCAAAAACATGATTTGAAGATTAGTTAATGGGGTCAACACTAACATTTTAAACAAAATTATCAACAAATACCAAATAATTAAGCCTAATAAACAAAATTTCCTAAAAGTTATGGGTGTCAAGTGACCCCTCTACTAACACCCTACCTCCGCCACTATGAGTATTGTATGATCACAATTGTTCGGATTTAATCGAGTATCGAAACTAGGTAAAAGTAAAAGGAAAATAATAGAGCTTCCTACGAAATTTTAAAAGTTTCTAAAAGATTGAGAGTTAGAATTTTTTTACACAAAAACGTTAAATGGTAAGCGAATGAAAACCAGTTTGATGATTCTAAAGAGAACTCTGAATTTAGCTTCTCAAACAATGTTTTAGGCGATTTTTGGAAATTAATTAACTAGTGTAGTCCGTTCCTAAAAATTCTAAAATTCTAGAATATCCTCCCATTGATGTATACGAGACTACCAAAAATGTTTCAAAAAAAATTTAAACAGACAAAAATGATAGTTATGGATCGGATCACTTGATGGGTTTGAAATGGAATTTAAACCGAGATTCTTTTTGGGAACTTCATCATGATCCATAGTCCAGAAAGCCCAAAACAGCTCACCTTATGTGTTCTCTACTTCTCTTATAGAAGACAAAAAGAAAAATTGTAACATCTCATTCCCATTTAAATTATGCCGCATACACTTCATTGGTACTTACCATTCAAAGATACAGAGACATTACATTGTGAATCTCTCACTGAATTAGTTAACTCCACACCTTTCTCCATCCTCCCAGCCCACAATTAAATTGACATCGCGCGCTGTGGTTCATCTGATCGGTTAGTCTATAGTATGTACATTAGGTTTAATATCAACAGAGACGAGATTCCTAAAACAAAATACACATTTCTCATTTATTCAGTACTTAAAATACAACTGAATATATCAAAGCATAGAAATACATAAAAATAATTTTTAAACCTCGAAAACTAACACGAAAAGACACTTTAAAATCTACTGTTATAAAATGATCATTAAGTAGCAAGGGAAGATGTTTAGTGGTGTAGTTAGTTTGTGATAGAGTAGTATCATACAAATGGATTATTATGAAAGGTTATGAGATCCTAAAATGAAAACCTTCAAACATTAATATCTTTTGATTCTCCTTCAACCACCTCGTGGATAGATCTTCAACCAACTCCAGTGGACCCATTGAAACTTTTTGATCCAACTCTCTCTATGTTTCCCTAAAAATAGAGATACATATAATTTTTAATTTTTATCCTAAAAATAGAAAATACAATGATTAAGTAAGCGGTATAAAAAATTATATTTGGGACGTCAACTACATTGTAAAAAAAATTGGATTTAATCCTCATTAAAGTAACTATTCAATCCTTTTTTAAAACTCAAACTCAAACAAAAAGATTTAAAAAGAAATAATTAAAGCTGTTTTTAAGTAAAACTACTATAGATTTACTTATTTTTGCAATTTTTCAAAATATAAAATAATCATAAGAAAAAAGTTTATGTAATATATCTGAATAAATATTTTTCTTTCTAAAAGTTTTGTGTAGGACTTTCTGCATATATATATATATTAATCATCATTTTTTGCAACTTTATCTTCCATTTCCAGAAAATGGAGATCAATCATATGACATCAAAAATAATAAAATATATAATCCTTAATGATATATTCTAAAAGTTTTTACGGTTGCATACATTAGCTTTTGAAAATCTAAAAAAAGATTTAAATTATGGTAAGAAATGCTCGATTTGATATATTATTTATCAAAATCTTACAAACTTGTCAACTACAACAAGAGATTATATTACGTTTTAGTTTTGCCTTTGCAAAATACACCTATATTCAAAAATGACCGGTAAAATTGCATTTTTATTTACAGAAAAAAAAACTTTTGTATACAACTTTGTAATTACTATTTGATGTTAGTAAAGTTGTTTGACATTTAATAAAGAGAAAAAAAAAAAACATTTCCAAAAATCTCGCGAATTCCCGGTCACACATTCTCCACCATTGCACTTTTCACGCTCTCTCTGTCTTTCTTCTTCTTCTTCTTCTTCTTCTTCTTCTTCTCCATCTTCAGATCAAAATCATCAAACAAAAATGTCAGACAACAATCCAGAAATCGAATCATCAACCTTCAACACTCTAAACCACGACGTCACTGAATCAATCCTCTCCCATCTCCCAATCCCTTCCTTAGTCCGTTTCACTCTCGTCTCCAAACAATGGCGTTCCATAATCACCTCTCTTCCTCCTCCTCCACCATCATCATCACCACCATGGCTCTTCCTCTTCGGTATCCACAACACTTCCTCTTTCCACAACCAATCCTTCGCTTTCGATCCTCTCTCCAACACTTGGCTCCGCCTCCCTCCCTCCTCTTCCTCCTCCGATCACCTCGTCGGATCTAACCGCTTCCTCTTCACCACCGCTCCTCGATTCTCCTTCTCACCGATCCTTAAACCTAATTGGCGATTTACTTCCCCTGTTCTGTTTCCTCGAATCAATCCTCTGTTAAGCGTTTTCACAACTCTCTCCAACTCCTCGAAGCTAATCCTCGTCGGTGGATCTTCGCGTATCGGAGGATTAGTCGATATCGAGGAACGGTTAGCTGTTCAGGTTTATGATCCTGTTCTTGATTCATGGGAGCTTTGTTCACCACTTCCTGCTGATTTCAGATCTGGTCAAGATCATCAAACTTTGACTTCAGCTTTGTTTAAGAGAAGATTCTACGTTTTCGATAACTATTCGTGTTTTATCTCGTCGTTTTGCTTGGATTCTTATACATGGAGTGATGTTCAAACTCTTAAACCACCTGGACTCTCGTTTGCTTTCTTGAATTCTTGTAATGGTATGCTTGTTCTTGGTGGAATGTGCGGGTTTTCGTTTAATCTTTGGAGTATCGAAGAAGGTTCGATGGAATTTAGCGAAATCGCGGTAATGCCTGAGGATTTGTTGTTTGGATTAGTTGATAATGAAGATGAGGAGGAAGAAGATAGTAATAAGTTTAGGAGTTTGAAATGTGTTGGCTCTGGGAATCTTGTTTATGTGTTTAATGATGATTGTCATAAGAAATTTCCAGCTTGTGTTTGTGAGATTGGTGGTGGTGAGAATGGGAAATGTAGTTGGAGAAGAGTTCCTTGTTTGCCTTCTCCGGTTAATAAGTTTCATAAAGTTGTTAGTTTCTGCTCAACGGTATCTATTAGCGATGTTTTCCACCCCGAGGATGCTCATATTGGTGGTTCGATTCGTGGTTGAGTTTGCTTACTTATGTCACTGGTATGATCATCCACACCCTTATCTTTCATTATAATTGCGCTTGTTAGGAGAGTTTACACTGGTATTAGATGAATGAACATTCTGCGGTTAGTTTCACTAGGGCGTATATTTAGAAACCGAATACATATGAATATTCGTGCTGCGGGTCAGCTATTTAGAATCCATTACTTATCTTACCATCATGGGCTCAGAATCTCTTGCGCCAAAGGCAAAGATTGAATATTGATAGGTTTTATATTCAAACCAGAGCGTATAGCTATAGCTTAGTGTTTTTGATACGGTTTCTGTGTACTAATGTCTTTGCATTTTGTGACTTGGCAGTGATAATGTTAAGTGGAGATGAAGGGAGAAGATAAATAATGAAGTGTATAAAGATGGTTATCAATTTATTATGGTAATCATGTAATTAGGTGTAAACTGGTTTATAATTCTTCGTTTAAATGCTATGTTATCTCTTTGTTTCTACTGTTTTATTTATTTGTGTATGAATCATTTACATACATACACATATCTACAGAATCATTAAGTATTGTTGGTTTGTTTAGTATAAGTGAGTGTTTTCACAACCTCTTTTACCAAAGCAAGCTAACATTGATACGTTCTTATGAATTATATTAAGTATTGTTGTCTTTTGGTGAACATATAATGAAAATGTTGATCTCAATCGTGCTTCTTAACAAGACTCTCATCTTTGACCAAAGCCTTTGGATGTTGATAGAGATAACTCCTGAACCTATCACCACTAGCAAATCCTCCGAAAGATATACAGTGTTTTGCTTTGTCATTGTCTTTAAAGCCGATTTAGGCTTTCATAGAAATTAGGGTTAATGCAATGCAAGACGTGGAGGAGATGAGTTTTGGGACCTAAAACTTTCTCTCATTCATGTTTCTTCTCACACCAAAAGGTGTGTCGTTTATAGAGATTTTATAATCAGAATTCATCATCGTAGCTTAAAATCAGAAGATTATTATGATCAAGAATATATATTCTCGTCTAACAAAAACCAACCAACATTATTCCACTGGAATCATAGGAAAAATAACTGGAATGTTTGGTAAACAAGTTATAAAATAGCTAGCAAAATATAATATATCAAGAGTTTGATGATAGATAATGGATACACTAGAGTGACAATTACAAGTCATGTGCTTGGTGCATTCCTTAAGCGGTTAAGCCTCTTCCAATTAAAGAACTACTAGATACCTTGTTGGATTTTAACGAAACTTGGAACATAACTGAGGAGAAATAGGGTATGAAATTCGTTTGGAGGTTCTGCTACACCATCATTGAATTCTATATATTTATTCTCTCCCACGATGTGTATGGTGTTGGTAAACAAAGATTTACAATACACTACTTTGTTCTCCTGGTCGATCAAGAAACTGATCATCCGCAAATAATAAGGATAGCAGACACCGCTTCTCGTTACTGTTAGGAACTTGGTCCATGACAAGGCTCCGGTACTCTCAATCTTAGTTGCCATCCATACATGTGTATCTAATCCCTCTATGCGATCAGTAGCTAACATACAAAGTTGTTGCTCTTCTCTAGTCACTGATAAAGCCAAATAAAGAGTATTAGCATCCGCCGGAAGAGACGAACATTGGAATGTCTCACTTGAAAAATCAAAACTTAGTAAGAAAGAATGCTCAATTTCAGGATGCTCAAGATCTTCAGCAAGCCAGTAAGTATTTCCCTTCACAAACATGCCACGTCTGATCTGACTAAGTGGTATGAACCAGCCGGTAGTCACACCAGAAACCCTCCACGAATTAGAGGTAAAATCATAGACTTCGTACTTATATATAGATTGGCATTCATTGTGGAGTCGAAACATTCTCAAGATTGTATAACAGGAGGATTTGTTATTGTAACCAAGAGCAAAAATATCGATCGTCGTGTAAGACTTTTCGGGTTGGATCCACCTGGTTTCACGTGAAAGCAGATTCCAAACCGCAAGTCTATCGTCTTTGGTGGTGCATAGCAATAAGCCATCGCAGTGAAAGGCGTTTTGTATATCGACTTCTTCTGAAAAATTATGAGAAAGAGGATATTTTAGGCTAAATTGACTTGTTAGGTTTACCTTGTTGTTGTCAATTTTATGCATATCGACGCTCACTAAATAAACCCTAGAGTCAATCAACATGATGATTTGAGACGGCTTCATCGCAAGTATCTTATCTTTGATCATAGCGTTCCATCCTTTGGATGCCCATCGTAATCGTGCCAGAGAAGTCAACGGAACTCTAGAGAGTATCTCCACTACTAATTCTTCCGGAAGATATATTGTCCTTGAAGAAAGAGACTAGGGCTTTCAAAAACAACTTAGGGTTGATGAATACATGAAGGAGACGAGAGGTTTTAGACTTAAAACATTCAGATGGATTCATATGCTTCTATTTATGGGCTTCGTCCTAAATTCAGCTGACTTTGGGCTTCTGTGCTTGTGGACCTATGATACGTTCTACTGAATTATATTTAGAATTGTTGTTTTTGGTTTGATGAACATGTAATGAAAATGTTGATTGCAATCGTGCTTCTTAACATGACTCCCACCTTTGACCAGAGTCTTTGGATTTTAATCGCAATCGTGCCAGAGATAACACCAAAACCCATCGCCACTAGCAACTCCTCCCGAAGATATACAGTTTACGCTTCTTCATTGTCTTTAAAGCCGATTTAGGCTTTCATAGAAATTAGGGTTAATGCAAGAGGTGGATGAGATTAAAGTTTTGGGACCTAAAAGGCTAAAACTTTCTCTCAACTAGTCTCAAGTATATGTTTCATCTCACACCAAAAGGTGTGTCGTTTATAGAGATTTTATAATCAGAATTCATCATCGTAGCTTAAAATCAGAAGATTATTATGATCAAGAATATATATTCTCGCCTAACAAAAACCAACCAACATTATTCCACTGGCCTCATAGGAAAAATAACTAGAATGTTTGGTAAATAAGTTATAAAATATAGCTAGCAAAACATAAAATATCAAGAGTTTGATGATAGATAATGGATATACTAGTGAGACAATTACAAGTCATGTGTGCTTGGTGCATTCCTTAAGCCTACTCCAACTAGAGAACTAGATACCTTGTTGGATCTTAAGGAAACTTGGAACATAACTGAGGAGAAATAGGTTATGAGATTCGTATGGAGATTCTGCAACATCATGATTCACTTCTATATATTTATCCTCTCCCACCCCGGCCCACATGCCAAGCCACTGAAGCAAATGCTTCGGGCCTCAACAATTTAGGGCCTTTTTAAGGTAAAAATTTGTTAAGTTTTGGTTATATTGTAAAACTATTAATTTGTTCTATAAGGCCTTTTTTAAAAAACAGTTTGGGCTTTTAGAGACAACCTAATTATGTTTTTAATACTAAAATTTTATTTAATGAAAAAATTAAAACCTAAAACCTTGAACGACGCCACCGTTTCTTCTTCATATATATGTGACTCAATTTGCTTTTTTTACAATAATAATTTTTGAGGTTAATTTGTTAGTTTTGCTTTTAAATTTATTGTTTTTTCTTTTTGTCTTTTGCTAAATGGTTTTTAAAAAACAGCTGCAAATTCCTGAATGATTCGTTTATGGTTTTCCATAGTATATGAAAAGACATATCTTTTAAGCTTTGCGTAGGGCACTCGCAAATGTCGGACCGGCACTGCTCCCACGATGTGTATGGTGTTGGAAAAGAAAGAGTTACAATACACTACTTTGCTCTCCTGGTCGATCAAGAAACTGATCATCCCAAAATAACGACGATAGTAGATACCGCTTCTTGCTACTGTTAGGAACTTGGTTCATGACAAGTCTCCGGTACTCTCAGTCTTAGTTGCCGTCCATACATGTGTATCTAGTTCCTCTATCCAATCAGTAGCTAACAGACAAAGTTGTTGCTCTTCTCTAGTGACTGATAAAGCCAAATAATGATAAAGAGTATTACCATCCGCCAGAAGAGACAAACATTGGAATGTCTCACTTGTGTAATCAAAACTTAGTAAAAAATTACGCCCATGTTCTTCAGCAAGCCAGTAAATATTTCCCTTCATAGACATGCCACGTCTAGTCTGACTCGGTGGTATGAACCAGCCAGTTGTCACACCAACAACCCTCCACGAATTAGAGGTAAAATCATAGACTTCGTACTTATATCTATATTGGAAATCATCGTGTAATCGATACATTCTCAAGATTGTATAACAAGAGGATTTGTTATTGTAACCAAGAGCAAAAATTTCGATCGCCGTGTAAGACTTTCCGGGTTGGATCCACCTGGTTTCACATGAAAGCGGATTACAAACAACAAGTCTATTGTCCTTGGTACCACATAGCAATAAGCCGTCGCAGAGACGCGTTTTATATTTACTTCTTCTAAAGATTTAGAAAGAGGATCTTTTAGGCTAAATTGACTTGTTACCTTTGCAGATGGAGCAACGTTGTTGTGGATTCCATGAAGATCAACATTCATTATATAAACCCTAAAATTAGTTAACATGATAACCTGATTAGACTGCTTCATCGCTAGTATCTTATCTTTGATCATAGCGTTCCATCCTTTGGATGTCCATCGTAATCTTGCCAAAGAAATGAACGGAACCCTAGAGAGTATCTCCACTACCAATTCTTCCGGAAGATACATTGTGCTTGAAGAAACCGACTAAGGGTTTCAAAAATATTAGGGTTGAGTAGAAATTGAAGGAGGCGAGAGATCTTAAGACTTAAAACATATTCAGATGGATTCATTTGCTTCTATTTATGGGCTTCGTCCTAAATTCAGCTGACTTTGGGCTTTGGAGCTTCTGAACCTATGATATACCATTGTAGACCTAGACTGGTAGTCCATAGCCACACTTTTTAATGGCCATATTGTATTATTAATTAGCCACTTTCACCTGTTGTGTTATTCACATATTCGGCTCTCTTTTTCTAATAGTGGTTATAACATATGGCTTATTAAAAAAAAACAGCATTTTTGTAGTAAATATATCTTCCTTCAAACATGTGTTGTACGCAGATCAGGTCCTAGGTAAAGGACCCATCAAGCATGTGTTTGGAGCTGCTGAGTTTAAATTTTTTTGAGGGTT